GGAAAGCACTTAAACTAGGCTATGTTTGAAATTCTGCCCTGTTCACCAGCGCTGGAGGAGCGCAGTCACCCGTTTCAATGCCGGTTTAAAAAGCCCTTGTCCACTTGGCCTCGTCATTTCCTCTGAAGGGAATCCTGACGCTATCTCAAGGGGAGTTCCATTACTTTCTCTCTTAGCTCAAGTGAAATGTGTTCAATGAGCCCTTAGAGAGGGATCAAGTGAACACAAGGGTCAACCTGACGCATTTCCTTTTCAAACATGTTCGTAATCACAGACAAAGCTATTTATAAGCCATAGCAGTAAACTACTTTAAAATGCTTAAAATTTAAATCCATAACATTTCATTTGCTGGGCTTTTTTTGCAGACTACTCTGTCTGTTATACCTAACTGCTGATAAAACTGCATCACTTTACTCTGCTAGCTTGCCATTTAGCATGCTGAAGGCTAGTTGGCTAACATCTTGCATAGCAAAGTTTTCATGGCAAATGCATTTCTGAATGGTGAGTCAAAATAGGCAAGGGTATGTTATTTGATAAACTGTTAATAGCTAACTTTTTATCATCTACAACAGGGATGCCAACTCTCATGCATCAGCCATAAAACTCACACATCTCAGTGTAATCTCACGGTCTCAGTCCACATTTCTCACACACTTTCACAAAATGACCCACAATGCATCTGAACACTGCAAAGTTACCTTCTGCTGCTTAGTTTTCACTGTAATCATTTAAACTTGGAAATCAACAATGGAGTTTAAATAATTAAAACAAAGAACAGTTATAACAAATAAAATGAAGAAGTCTTCAAAACTCTGCACTATTTCTAGGTCACTACTCAAATTTAAAAATGTATGAAACTGACCCTGTTAAAGCCTTTGTACAAAAGGTTGAAACACATGTTCAGACGACTCTCAGGTGGATTTGATCTACTCATCAGAGGCTTTAGAACAAACTTATGGAGTCCAAGCCAGCTTGAGTGCATGCTGTCACTAAAGCAAATGGGGACACACCAAATACTAAGAAATTCTGAAATTTATGTAAACATTCAAAGGTTCTACTTTTCACTGAAATGTTGTAACACTGATAATATAATTTGTAATGAAAAATGTCATTCAGTTAGGGACTGACTGCAAAATAGAAGCATTTTCACCAGTGGTCTTAGACTTTTGGACCCCATTGTATATTCTATATTCTCTGTGATTGGGCTGTATTCTGCCCTCATTATAGTAGGTTGATCAGTTCAGGGGAGAGCTAACAACAAATTATCAGTGCTGAACGAGAACACAACTTATCAGCTTTTGGATTAATACTGCGTTGCTAAATTTGAACAGGCTAATCTACACCTGCTCTATGAGACAACAAACATTAGATCAGGGCTGTACCATTTGCTGGGCAGCCACTAATATAACCCATAAATTTAGACTGTAATGTTAACTTGTGTTTATATGTGTGTAAGGTTTATACACATTAGCCCTCGGTAACCAGCTCAAAACATTACCTGATCTCCTTGTTGGGAGCCATTTTGTAGTGGTGTCAGAAAACATTGTGGAAAACATCCAGTTCTCTTATAATCCCACAATGCATTGCAATATGTCATGTGCAAACAAAAAGAAAAAAAGCATTGCAGACTACTGCCTCAGAGTGATGAGCAAACTAGCGTACATTTGCTTGAATGAAGTGACCTCCTACTCGATTCCTTGCCTACCCCAGCCACATTGTTTTGTGTGCAAGACTGAAAAAGAAGTAATACTTCTTTGTAAGTATTAAGTATGAATAAGTGATTGCACAGCACTACAGGCTCTACCTTAACAGGTAGAAGTGTTAAGATGGGAGCAGAGTCATTCACAGTGGTTTGATGTGAAATGGTACATTGTAGAGAAACAGCCAACTCTGGTGGTGATAGGAGCCAGGAGTCATGATTTTCACAATACAAATGCAGCCATTTTATTGACATTGCAAAATGACCAGTTTTTAGATAATGCTGATAATGGTAACATAGAGGTGATGGGTACAATGTTCTGTATTGTTTTGTATATGTCCTGTACTTCTCTGCCATGAATGGATTGTTAAAATATATTTTAGGCCAAAACTTTATACATATCTGTAACCATTTCATATAACAGCTTTATGTGAAGGAGGTTTTAGAGACATTAAATGCTTTGGATATCTGGTTCCTTTCACAAACACTATGAACAATTTTAACTGAATTTCTCTAAAATTTCATATCAAACTATGCTGAATAACTTTGTTTGCATCTTAAAAATGTAACTACACAGAAATTTTATATAACCCTCTAACAAGTCCCTGGATCCTCCTGATTAATTGAGCTTCACATGAACAAATAAGACTAACATTACATTTACTAAAACTCAGGGTCTGAGTTTCTTGAATGTTTAAATGCCTTTTTATCTTTATGTATTTTCTGCATATTACTATCTGTTGTATGTTCTACTCATAAAATACCAGCAATTTCATGAATGTATGCAACTGGGAATGTGCTAGCTATCTAGGCAGTCGAGTGAAGAAATAGGCAGTATAGAGTTCATATTTTATCAGCCATATATGCTTAGATATTTTTAAAAAATCACTTTGTGGGGTCTCTTGATGGTGTATACCACTGATAGCAAAAAACAGCCCTGCTACTGTCAGTATAAGCATATCTGGCATCTCTTGGTGGTCTTTGATTACATTTACAACTATTACTGACAGACTAGAAGAAAGGTTTTTCGCTGAACAGGGCAGAGTGGCAATTAGCAATAAAGTAATGTGTTTTGGCAGTAATGCGAGGTGGGCTAGAGAGAGAGTCTGTTACCATACTTGGAGAACGGAGGGCAGGTGGCTGAGCAGGCCCTGTCGTGAGGAAGAGCAGAGAGGACAGCTGGGCCTGTCAAACAATGACTTATTCTTCACCATTCAACTGCTCAGCACTGTACGACACGCACCCAGCCACACTGATACTGTATCAACAAGCCGTATGTGTGTATGAGTGTGCCTGCATGCGTCTGTGTGATGAAATCAACCAGTTTATGACATTTCTAGCCATGTCGGAATACGTATGTTTACAAAGAAGGAGAGTGCAGAATGTTTTTGGAATGCTACTGAAATAACACCCCCCTAAAAAACATGTAAACCAGTAATATCCAGCTACAGCCTCGCAGACCAAGCCACAGGCAGGGTAAGGCCTCAGTTTGGGAGGAAGACAATATCAGCCAACTAGCAAGCTAGCTAAAGTGCTGGTGGGGTAGCTTACATTAACGTTATAAATAAACTAAGATTAGTAAATAAAATGGTCAGGGTTAGGTTTATGCTTAGTTACTCTCCCAAGCATGTTCACTAATGTAAATCAGTCCTTTAAAATGGTTAATGACAGCATTAGCCAGCTAACACACACCAGAAAAGTGCTTAAATTACCCAAACTTTATGCCGTTTTAGACATAATATATAACTGCAGCACAGCTTGTCTGAAACATTTTATTTGTACTAACGAAACTTTGCCCATTAATGTGAGCTACTGGTTTAGGTAGCTCGCTAGCTTGTTGGCTAAAAGCAAGAGCTTTTTCTGCCAGCTTCACAACAACTGAGTACTTGAAATTTTCCAACTCAAAATCTCCTTCTTCCTTCCTAAGCGCGTTCATGAAATCTGTTTGAGGTCAGAAAAAATGGACATTTACAGTACACTTGCGCTTGTCTGGCTGCTGTGTGCATTTAAAAAGCTTAGCATTTGCATTTGAATTAAAGAACGGTTTGGTTAGTGCTTCATATATTTTAAAAGCGGATATGGACAATTGCAATTCACTATTAATTGAACGCTGAAAACATCTTAAACACACCAGAGTAATATATTTCCACACAGCAGATGCTGAAATGAGATCTGCTAGTTTTGCTTTTAGCTTCATTTACAGTCTTGATGATAAAAGCTTTAACTGAAGCCCAATGCCAGCACAGTTCACTGATTTTCCTGCTCAAACACACCAATTACATCTGACTATTAAAGGAGAATTTCACCATTTTTTCTGCATAATTCAATTGTTGAGGTGTAAAAAAAGTCATTTAGGGTGGTTAGATGTGAAATGGTGCATTGTATGGAAACTTAGTGACCCTGATTTCCTTACAGTGGTGGTGATCGGAACCAAGGGTCACAATGTCTTCAACGGAAAATACAGACATTTTATTTACTATCCAAAATGACCTGTTAACCTACATGTGTCTTCTGAGCTTTATATGTAATGTCGATAATGGTAAAATACAGTAATATAAGTTTTCTTTGGAAACTATTTTGTCTTACGACACCCTGTATGTAAAAAATATGTTTTAGGCTGAAGCACTTTCTCAAAATGATCATAAACAACATCTCAGACATCAGGCAGCTTAATCATAACCATTTCATGTAACAATGTTCTGTAAGGAAACTTTTAGACCAGGGGTGTTCAAGCTTATCCACAAAGGGCTGGTGTTGCTACAGGCTGTCAAACAAGCAGGAGCACACTTTACTCCACTTGTTTTATCAGTTGATCTACAAACACGCATGCTCCTGCTTTGATGGCTGAAAAACCTGCAGCCACATGGGCCCTCTGTGGATAACACTGGATAAGCCTGTTTTAGAGGCATTAAACTCAGACGTCTGCCTCCAATAACTAAGGCTGTAAATAGTTATTACTCTGTAATTTCTCTAGAATGGAGCATTTCACATAAAACCACACTGATCGACTTTGTTTACATCTTAATAATTTAAGTAAAAATTTGTTAAATTCCTCCTTGAAGGCCACAATTTACTATATTGAGGCCACAATGTACTATAATTGAGGTCACAATGTACTATACTAAGGCCACAAATTGCTACATTGAGGCCGCAACATGTGATCTAAACTACAACAAATCATCACTTCAGACCACTCAGAACACGTTCTGTGGCAACATCATATCTATCTAACGCCGTTGGGGGACATGAATAGGTTAAACGTTGTTGCTCTCCAGTCCAGCAGATGGCGCTAAGTCCTCGTTCAGGGACGCCAAAAGAAGAGGACGAAGAAAAAGAAGGGATTAGCGAATCCAAACATTTGTTGTGGCCGTGTTGGCGGATTATTTTGCTGTATAATAACTGTTACGGCAAAAACATGACAAACTTGCAGTCATTAAGCGTTTTCGTGACAGAACGGTTAACGTTGGCTGCTCAGGAGATTTTCAAAGCAGTCGAAGTGACCGTTACAGAGTACCACGAAGAGATTTCCCGCTCAAGACAAGAAAATGAGCTCCTAAAAAGGAGGCTGCTGGAGGCCGGCATCGATTTTTACTCAGGTGAGTCAGTTAAAGCTGGTTTACTGACATGTTCAGACTGAGTAGGGAAATTAACTAAGGGGAAAAGGTCATGAGACGTTTGCACTTTCTGTTTCTGAGCTAGCGTTAGCTGTGGAACAACAGGCTGAACAAAAGAAATAAGATGGACCCTTATCACAAATCGTGCTAACTGCGGCGGTGCTGTAGTAGTATTGTACTGACTGTACAACAAGTTTTCATACGTGTGGAATCATATCCGAGTCGTTTATGAAGGCTATAGAGTGTCTATGGTTAAATAAGAGTTGGACTTTGGCCATTCAATAGCCTGCCGGAGTTAATGAGATTAAATATGGCGTTTCTGTTTGTGTACTACCAGAGTCAGTTAAAGGGGAGCCTGGCCACTTCCTAGTTACGCTAGAGGGCACCTGCGAGCGAGTCCTAAATCATTGGGAGTGAATGGAGCTGAAAACAAAATATCACTTTTTAGCCTTTATGCTGGTTAGTCCTTTAATTTTGGAAAGTCAAAAGATGTATTCTGTTAAAAAAAAATCAAAGAAAATTGAACAGTATCATTCCGTTTTTCTACATAATTACCACGCTAGAATTACTGATACTGAGCGCTGATTGGTTGGTGAGCTGATTGACGTTAGTTCATTGGCTGAGTAAAGCCAGAGAATTGAATAAAGGGGAGAATAACTCTGTCATGTCTTCAGGGTTTTTCAAATGCTAAAGGGCACAAATCCAAAATTAATGGGTAAATATGGAGCATTTGAGTAAAACCATAGTTTGTAAATGCTTAAACATTTTTATCTAGAAGAATGCATGCATTTTATGAACACAACAGCAGAAAACATTTTAACATTTCTATTTTTAAAATGTGTTTGAACTCCTGTTATAGGAATTTATGATATTGCCTCATGTACGATCATGATGAGCTGCTCTGCTCACCAAAATCAGCCTTTCTTAGCAGAATGCTAGCATCCTACTGCTCAAAACACGTTTGCTGTAGAAAAAAAGGAATATGCAGGTAAGGTTTCTTTTGCTTTTTAGTGAAATGCATCATTCTGCTTTCCAAACTTAAAGGAAGGTCTTAGACAAGTGGTGAGAAACGTATTTAACTTTTCGTTTTTAGCCACGTAAACGTTCTGGTTCCGTAAGTAAAACTCCTTTTCATCATTGCCAAAGGGAATTGGAAACATTAACTGCCCATCGTAGACTTACCATTAGCTTCGTGAGTTGTCGGTATATGATCCTTTTGAAGCCCAAAGCCTGTCTGATTTGATTTGAAAATCACATTTTACTCCCCATTACTCATGAAGAAATACACTACTCATAGTCCTTAAAGCTAATTCCTTGGACAGTTTAACTGTGCTTTGGTGCTAATCACTTTAGAGGGCTCTTTAGCACTCAGAAACACTTAAAATCATTAATAATACTATTACAGTGTTATTACGAATTGTACAGATAAATAATTCGTGCCATGTTATTCAGTTTACTGACTTCAGTAACTTTGTAATTACATGCTGTCATAAATTGGACTCCTTGTCTGACATTTGATTTATTCATGCAAAGACTACAGCTTATTGTACAAAGGTCAAAAGGTCAGTCTGAACAAAACCCTGTGAACATCTTTGTTAAAGGTCCCTGTAATCATAACATATGGAGACTTATTGACAAATTCTGACCCACTTTCACTTAGTTCCTTAATGCCAAAAGGGCCCTTTATGGCATACATATTAAAGGGTTAAATATGGAGAACCAAACCACTTTGCAAATACAACTATGACAAATTTTACCATTAGTCATATGTTTTTGACATCTATGTTGACAGTCTTTTACATGTTGAACAAAACTCAATAGCTCATTACATATGAAACGAAATATGTGTCGTGTTTAAAGTCCACTGCTCGAGACTTCTGGCAAAAGGCCTATTGATAAGCTCTGACTTCCTTGCATTTTTGTCCTCTCTCTGTAAATCAGGCCCAAACTGCATTAGGCCTTGTTAGGCCTAGTTGGCTAAAATTGCATGAAGGCTTTTTAAGCTGATGCGTGCCTGAACCCGCTTGTTGCTGCTCGTGACTGTTTTTTGTTTTATTAGTAGTAGTAGTTGTAATAAATAGTATTACTAATATTATATGTTTGCTTTCGTCTTTTGTCTCAGCTTATTAAAATGATTTTTTATCCATTTTTTCAATTGTACTTAACACCTAAATTTTTGTTCAAAGACTAGAAATTATGTGACATAAATTGTACAATCTGTAACACTTGAATGACAAATTAATGCATGATTTCCTGTTTCTTTTTGTGATATACAAGTAAAATTGTCTGCTGTTCCAGTTTATTTCCTATTATAACATTGCATAACTTTATGCATCATCATTCTGTACATGTTAAACTTATGGTTTAGCTTTACAGTAAATGGGCACTTCCACTCTCTGTTTCTCTGTGTTACACTGATTTGTCTGAGATAAATAAAGGTTCTCAAATAGAACTTTTTCATTGTCTGTTGTGCCAGTTGCAAAAATCACAACCCCTGAAATCATCAGTCATTTGAGTGTGGGTACATGGATATCGCAGTTTCCTTCAGTTGTTGATACGTTAACATATTAACACGTTTTGAGCTTCTAGAAAGTTAAAATACTTAAGATTACAATAGAATATGTGAAAATGAAAAACTTTGGCCCAATCCCATTTCATCCCTTGCCCCTACCACTTAGCCCTTAGCCCTCGTTTTGCACATTCATGTCTAGGGGTAGGGTGTCCCGATTTTTGTTGAGATAGAGGGATAGGGCGAAGTGTTAGGGCTACATGGCCCTCCAAACTGAGGCTTTTCAGAGGCACAATCCAAACAGAGTGATATGAGAAAAAAACACTGGCAACCAAAGAAACCCACAAATGTAAATGTTTTCTCCATTTTGTTGTTTTAATGTATTATGGTCCTTTTCTTCAGAACAAGCACAGAAAATCGCTAATAGTGTGTTAATGTCTCAGTAGTTAGCTAGCTAATTTTCCTGTTCCAGTCCAGCAGTATTGACGCCTGAAGTGCCAGAACGTAACTGCCGCTCCATTTAAGGTGGAACAGAAAAATTTGAACGAGACGCTGGCGAGTAGCTGATTTCAGCCTCATATCACCAAAGAATTAGGGGAGAGCGATTATAAATAATTATTAATAATAATAAGTAATGTGCACAATACTCGCATTCCCACTCTTTGAAAGCATATGATTCCCTAAATGTAACTAAAGCCCAGCAGCGAGGCTTTACCCTCACTGCAGCATGGCAGGGTCGACTACAGAGCACCGCTATTACCTGTTAATGAAGTAATGTTCTTCTTTATTAGAGGGTTGTCCTATTTCATAAGGGAAGATTTCCACCACTATCCATTGTAACTCAGTTCCAAGGGGCAAGGTGACACTCGAAAACAAGGGGTAGGGGTTGGGATTTAGGAAATAAGATTAGGCCTTTGACAGTTGCAGCCCTGACGATAACTAAAATAATGTTATTTTTCAGAACTACAGCCTAGCCTGTCTGTCGTACAAGAAAGTGAGGCCAGTGTTGGGCAGCCAGTTTGTGGTGAGCCATGGAACCAGCAGAACGAGAAGATCCAGGTGAAGCTGGAGCTCAGCGCTGCACAGGAGGAGACCCAAGATTCTCAGCTCCAAATAGCCATGGCTAAAGAACCCATATCCCCAAAACCGTGCCTACAAAATGAACAGAAAATAGAAGAAATGTTCCATGTACAAACCACAGACGGCAGTACGGATACTTTACTCCCTGCTGGTCCTTTCATGCAGATTAAAGAAGAACCCAGTGAGCTAGTGCCTGATTTGAGATTAGAGACTTTCTGTGAATCCCAGACCAGCATTTCTGCCGATCCAAGCAGTGCTGTTGCCTCTAGTCATTGTAGCAGCTTTGAAGAGGAGCTGGACAGCCACAGACTATCGTCAGTGCACAAGAGCGTGCGATCTAAGGCAAGTTACTACATTCACGTCTCTTCGAGAGTCATGCAATCCTAAGGCTGACCATCGTTGAGGTTCATAAAAGGTTGAAAAAACGTAACGTGCTCTGTTGTGGGTCAGCTTGCCTTTCCTATTTGATACATCTACTGGAGTGTGTAAAACTACAGTGCTGTTATATTTGTTAGAGCTTTAATCGGGTTTGGGTTACTGTAACAACAAATCTTCAGATCATTGATAATCACAAAAAAGAATAGTATAATTATCAGCTATCCAGCCAACTTAATTTAAGCTTTAGCGTCAATGATTATCAATCTGTGCTTTCGTGCAACATCGCAAAAGTTTTTAGACTGGATAAACTTCAGGCTACATAAGCTAATGTGGTGTTCTCATGCTGACCTTGTGGACCTTGCTGCCAAAAACATGAGTGACCCAAATGTGTTTAATTTATTAATAGAAGATCGGAAGCATAAAGTAGGGCGAAAAACTAAAGTGGGGTAAATGCAGGCCAAAGGCTATGAAAAACACAAACATGACATTTTAACCTGACAAATATTTGAGAGATGTTGTCCAAGCCTGGCCAAACCTGACTGTACTTGTTGCGCCTTGTTATGTTTGGACACACAATTCATGCTACATATGAATGCATGTATATAAAAAAGCCAATGAATCTTGATGCCTGTTGAAGGTATTGGTCCAGGATGACAAGCTGACAAGTATCTTTGATTGCTTGAGGTGGATGGAGCTTATTTTGCAAACGGTGCCCTACACTGGACCTGCTGAATTTTCACATTTCAACTGTTCATTTACTCTAGTCTGGGAATGAGTCTAAATATTTGACTGCTTTTGTGCCCTCACGCACATCTTAGTTTTGTATTTGACCACTGACCTCAGCTCAACATTGCCATTATAATCTTCCAGCTAACATTTTCCTTGTCCAGTCACAGCCAATATGAATGTATGATGTCATCACTACAAGTGCACATTTCAGTGTTGTGCCTCTGCTGTGGGGCCTCTGGAAAGCACACATTTATTAATGTATTATGCTCTACTCAACACAACCTTGACAGTTATGGGAGTCATAAACCTTTTAAAAATGTTTATAAAATGTAAATTCAAAGCCCTGTTAACATGATTTCAAATGTTTCTTTTTTTTTATTAGTAAAGATATGCCACGGAATAAGCATTTAAATTATTTTGAATATTGTACTGTTTAAGTAATTGTAATATAAATTTTGTTAAATTAGTGTTATTCAATAAATATGAATATATGAATAAATAATACAATTTGACAGTAGATAAAAGTTCCAAGTTTGCTGCTGCTGCTCACAACTGTATGGGTGTGCAGATTCAGCCCTACGCATTTGAGCCTTCCCTGCAGGAACATAAACCACTTCACTTCAGTTGCTTTCTGACTGGTCAGTAAAAAGTGCAAGACAGCGAATAAGCTGTCTAATAGTCATTTTATCTATCTAATTAAATTTGACATCTAATGTTCGGGAACTTGTATCCGTGACCCACTCAAGTGTCACATCGCGACCAGTATTTGAACACTGAGCACTAGAAGATCTGTAATATCTGTTATATCTGTAACCTATAGCTAGCTAGCTAACTACTGGACCTGAAATGGAGGTCACACAAGCTCCTGTTATGAGTCGGCATGGTCGTATGACAGACACAGCAGAAAAATGTCTTGTGTACCTGTGACAGTTATTATATAATCATCATTAATATAATATTATATAATCACCTGATCCCAGAAATATATATTACCTTTCACGATCAGATGTTTATGTTGCAACAAACAGCATTTAATTTGCTGTTTTTAATCAGTTGGTTTAGGGCAAATACATACAAAAAGAAGAAGGCAGAAATGACTTCATGATTCTTATGAAAGCACTTCTGTCTTGGCGTTAACACCTTTAGAGGACAGCAGTAAGTAACGTTTGTTTGTTTGAGCTAATCACCAGTTGGGAGCTGCCAAATATCGACAGCTAGGAAACAAAACAGGTAATCATTCAGTTTGGGCACTTTAGGACTTTATTTAATTGTTGCATACAGTGAAAAAAATGACAAATTATTATTCAAAATTCTTTACATGCCATTTAATTAGCAGCTAAATTTTCATGAACATGACAGCCCTAGTCCCAGGGAACCTACATATATGATTGTTTTGTAGCATCATGTGGATACACAATATGCATGTACAAAGTACTCCCTACTTTATTTGGTATTCTAGTGTCTGGGAAATGTCTGTATATGTCTTTGTGTGGAAAGCAAATACTGCTGGTTTGATGCTAACATAATGTTGCAAATCCTACAGAGCTGCTAGTGGAACTAGCATTATTGTAACTTAAATTAGCATGTGTATCTACGATTGTTGCTCCACCATATTAGAAAATATTACAACTTGCTTACAAGTTACAGGTTATTACCCTTTAAAAGTTCAATAAAAAAACAAGTATCTTTAGTTGCTAAGAAGCTGCAAGATAATGGAAAAAAATCACAATTATATATCACAATTATTCAGGATATTTTTCAATACATATTTCAATACAATATTTTGACGGTGTACTAGCAGTACCACATTTAAAAACAAAAACTGCCATCAAAACTATGAACACTGCACTCTACTTAAACAGACCTATTTATGCTCTCATTGTAATGAAGCAAACGCTTGTTTAGGGTTTTTTTTTTTCTTTTAAGTACTGACGGTTTCTACAATATGCTCAGAAAAACATATGTATCACAATAAGAAAATGTATCACAATACGGTTAAAGTGTTGTCATATTGCCCAAAAGACGTGCTGGTATCCTATAACTGGATATGTCACAGTATTAATCACACAGTGCTTTCTAAGTGCTGGCTAGCATGCTTTCTATTGCATTTATGTCTAAACATTTATGACTACCAGCCAGAAAAAAAATTAATAATGCACAGTAATGTCATTGTAGTCCCTTTAAAATACCATCACTGCATTTTAGTCAAACACACTGCAGTTTTACCAGAGATTTTTAGATACCACAGCAGCTTTATTTTCACAAGCTCCAGGATTCTGATCATGTGGTACAGTTCCTACTCTGAGCGGATCAGAGACGCAGCTTGTTGCTGACACATAATGGAAAATCTCCTTAACAAGCTAGCAGAAATTAGCCTTAGAAAGGTTTAAGCATTTTTATGTTATGATCAAGCACAGGACATGCTAATTTTATGGTGGTACATTACAGGTAGAAGTAGTGTGTTCCATGCTTTTTGTTGGAGGTGCTTCACAGCTTATGGTAAAGGTCTCAGTTCTTAAAGGCAGAGTCCTACTGCAAATAGCCCTGAGAAGATTGCTGCAGCTGTGTGAACTGTGTGTGAGAGCAGAGAGTACAGCATCTTTTTAACCATGTTGTCGTACAACTTTTTTCGCTTAACTGTTGTTGGTGAATGAAGATGTGTCCATTCAGATGAGATTCTATATCACATTTTTCAAACTGCTCAAAAAATGTTTTACACCAGAGCATGTGCTAATTTCAGCTGCATTAGTCTCAGTGTCTGGTGCTGTGTCATTAACCTTTTTTTCTGGCTGGTAGTCACATATTTTTAGACATAATTGCAGTAGAAAGCATGTTAGCTAGAATAAGGCAGACATTATTGCTTCAAATTAGAGCTCTAATACAGATGATTAGGAATGGTGTGTCAAATTTTGCGATTCTCAGAGCCTTAGTGACCTCTCCCTCTTGACTGGATCTGCAGTCCATTTCTATTGTAAACGTGTGCTATATTGATCATTGCTGCTTGTATTTCTAGGCTAGGAGATACTATTGCTGACCAAAAATAAACAGTACAGTAGCAGATTTTCTGGATGTTTGTATCATTGTCAGCTAACAATTACATAACATTTTAATGCACATGATAAGGAGCAGTAAGCTTAAAATTACATTGCCAACTTTTATTGTTCTGTTTTAACTAACAATGAAAAAACAAGATAATTGCTGTCGGAAATTTTGTGGAAAAATCATTCTTACCATTATTATTCAATGTTTGTACTCTTTTGGACAATCATTGCCCAGTCAACTTCATTGATTGCCTTTTTACAAGTTTTTTTATTTTTCTGATGGTACTTTTCTAACAAGGTCAGTGACGAGTCATATTGGTACACGTACACAACTGTGCCCATTTAAGCTATCAGCTTTTCATTTATTTTGTCCAGTCACAATTAACCTATTTTTAAATGCTTTTTTTCAAATTGTTAAATGGACACTTATTTATCATGTCTGTGAATAGTAGCCTTCAACTATTAATAATACATTGATGATAATATCTTGACTGCTAAGCTAAATATTGCTTGGGAGCACTTTGGGAGAGGACACAAACTGGTTGAGGGGCATAGTGGTTGTCCAGGATGGCCTCAACTTCATATTGCTTGCCCATATTCCTGGTTCTCCAAGCTTGTGCCACTGTGTATAATTCTGATCGAGTGGCATAGCAGGCTAGACTTGGCTCTGTTGGGGTTTTTGCCTTCTGCGCCACTCCAGGTGCAGGCCTGTCCTGTGGGTTTCCACCCAGTTTCATATCTTCAGCACCATTGGTTTGGGCTCTAAAAGCCAATTTTGAATCTGACTGGTTGTAAGACAGATATGTCTGAAGTATGAAACACGTTCGATTTCTTGGATGCAGTTGGACATTGAATGCTGAAAGTAAAAAAGGTAAGTTTAACTTCTTTTCGGAAAAGACACTATTGCTTGATTTGCAGGAAAGCTCAGTAATGTATTACTAATATTATTTATTTATTTATTTTTTAGGATGTGCTATCTGTGTAAATTTCAACATGTAGGCTAGCTACTGTTGTATGTAAAAGTTTGGGCAGCACTGACATGAAAAGATGTAAACGCAACCTCTGCATCAAAGTATTAAAAAAAAACATATCAGTAGATGTTAAAGCTCACTGACTTTATATTTGATCCTCTTTAAACCTTGGGATAACAATCATGTCAAAGCACTTCCAGCTCACAATTTCTATAGAAGAAAATGTCACTATGATATGGCATGGCAGTTAAGGGGAACCGTGAAAATTGAGGCACGATCTGGAAGACTAAAGGCCTCAGCATACTTCTTGCGAAACAAAATTCTCGAGGGTTGTGCGAAGCCGAAAGTGCTTTCGCAAGCTTACAAGCTTGCATACTTTCTGCGGTTTTGTTTTATGATAAGTTTCATGACTGCTGGAAAATGATTCTTTGACAGTTCTAACTATGGTGACGTTTGAGTTCAGAATACTGCCACCATTTAAGGTGCAATGGGAAAATTCGAACAAGAAATTGGTAAATAGAAAGCCAACTTCAGCCTCGTCGTCTTGTGAACCTAAATATAAGATAACCTGTATGTTTTGGTGCTCAGTACTAGTTAGTACTACCGAATAATAGACTTAATATCTTACATTTAGGAGGTATTCATTGTTTATTTAATAAATGCGCGTTTCACAGTGAAATGTGTGTCTGCCAAAGCCGAAGCTCCTCAAAGTCGTCAGCTGCCATATGTGCGACACGGGCAACGAAGCCTCCGTGCGACGTCTGCGGTGGTTTGTTTTCTCCACAATTACATCATATTGTTCACTTAAGCCAGGTGAACTTCGTCTCCGCAAGAAGTATGCTGAGGGCTTAAGACAACTCTCTGATACAATTGCTCATATGCTGCCTACAAAGGTGAAGCAAAACCACACTGACGATAAAGGACCTGCAGGAAGGTTTAGCTCTTGAGTCGTGGGGCAGTGCTTTGTGCACAAATGTTATCTGAAATTATCAGAGAGAAACCTTTCATGTGACTGCATCACAAAAGTAAACATCTAAAATATGCAAAACATCTAGATAATCCATAAGGCATTTTTGAAACAGCCACTGTGGACTGCTGAAGTAAAAATGAAACTCTCTGGCCACAAGCACCAAAAGTGCATTAGGAGAAAAAATATGTAAGTTGGCCCAAACTTTTGCATACAGCTGCATACTGAAATGCTTACCCTTGCTTATGTTTTAAGTCAGCTAACTGGCCAGCTAACTTTTTCACTGTATGAAGAGAATTAGCTTGCCATTTTATGTAACTACAACATCAAATATCTGCTTTGAGAGTAATTGTTTGACCTTTTTTTCTGTTTTCAGATGCGTCGTAGAAAGAGACGAAGACTAGAGGTATATAGACGCTAAGCATATACACTATCGATTATTACCCTCAGATGCATATGTGGGTTAGCTTGTAAACTACTTTAAGAGCATTGTGTCTACTCGTCATTGCCTTCAGAGCAGCTTTATGTATAGTGAAACAGTAGTTATGAAGCTAAATGTTACTCTTTGGGCAAGGTAATACCTTATGAAATAGAGGATACGTATTAGCTTCATACCTGATTTTAATCATGATCATTTTTCTCAGGTTCTACCCAGTAAAAGTGTGGAAGCAATTTCTGAACATCAAGCTGAGGTATGTTCTTCACCTGCCTCAAAGGCCTTGTTTCCACTGCAGGGCCGAATGGTTCTGGGAGTTACGTTTCAAAAGCATTTCCACCTGGACACGTTTCAAACGCTTACAAACGCCGTTTTCTCACTGAGGTTTGCTAACCATTCTCAGGATTGCAGAACCATTTAATGAAGCAGCTATTTGCTGATTGGTTCTGTGTTAACGTCTGTATTGTTTAACCGCATGCTTTGTTATATCAGACCCAAAAACGATCAAATACGTTCAGTTCACTCACACGAAAGCAATGGACAGTTTTACATCCAGTTAAATTCAGTAAATGTTAATCTTCAATTGAACAACAACTACGGCTTGTTAAATGGTGTTGCTAACTAGGAGAGAGGAGCTGGTTAGCATTAGATTAGCTAGCATGTTACCAGTTCAGCTTGCAATACAACACGTTTTATTATGATAACAGAAGCTACACAGATGCATGCTATGATAATATTGACTCAAATCTAAGGAAGTTAAGTGAATGGCTATTGTTCGAGCAACAGAAAGGTGAAATTAAACCTGTTCCGCAGTGTTTGGATCTGTAGCCTCCTAGCAAAGCTAATGCTATCCAGCTAGTGGTTTACAGATTCAATGCCATGGTGCAGGTTTGATTCTGGCTAACTGTTGCTCTGCTGTCACAAGTATGGACAATAAAAACTGACATATGGGAAAACAAAGTTGAATGATGGGTGCTGGATGGACAAAGTTGGAAACCAATCTGTTCTCTAGTGTTTTAGACTGTAGCCACACAAATCTGCAGTGCCACCCACTGCAGTGCTGGCTTGGTTTTAGATTACTGATGCTTAAAAAACTTTATTTACAGAATAAAGACTCAGAAGTGACAGAAAAGCTAAATTGTCCTGTGGTGTGTTGAGCTGTACCCTGCTGGGCTAAGCTGATGCTATCACAAATAGCCAACTGCAGGTGCCACCCACCACAGTAGAGACTCGGTTTCAGCCAACTGATGCTCAAATAACACCCGTTTAAAGGACATGAGAGCACAACGTTGAGTGTGTTTAACCTGTCGGCAGTTAGCCAATCTATTGTGTAGTTTTTCTTTAGTATTTCCTGGATTTAGCAGCACAGCAGATACGAAAAGAAACTGTAACTGGTCTCATAAGTCCACACTCACATGGAACAGCACAGTACGGTTCTGAGAACTGTTTGGCTCTACAGTGGAAAAAAGGCCAAAGTGAATGACTTCTACGTTATTCTACGTTAACATTTACTTATTATTGCTAGTTATGCACTTGCGTATGCTGAAACACTGCTCCATATGGATATGTTTAAAGCAGGATGAATTTATACACTGTACACATATATAATATACATTATGTATAGTAAAATGCACACTGTCAGCTTTTTTATGTTACTTGTATGTGAATACATATTTCTACTTGCTAACATATTGGGCATGAAGTTAACATGTTGTTAATGCAATTTTACAGTCCAGTATAGATGGAGCCATCCCTGTGTGTACTGCCAAAAAAACCTTTGTGGTGGAATCCCTCCTCAAATCATGTAACTTCAGAGAGAAACGGAGGTAGTTTTAATCGTTTGACCCTTGTTTTTATGTTCCACACAATACATGTTTTGACGGTTTCCATATCGTTCACAGATATCACGTCAGCTTGGAAGAAATTAAGCGTCGAGTTGGCCCCCCTGAGTTTATGTCCTTAAATGCACTAGTGTCATATCTTCGGACTGCAAAATCCAATAAAAAGTCACTGAGAAAAGAGTTAATCGACCTAGGTGTTGTCCCACCCCAAGTTACTCGCCTCACTTCCCTGTGTTCTAAATTAACAGAAGGTATGTATTGCTTGCTTTTTGATACTTCATATGACTGCCTTAAGGTTGTGAGATTGTTAGACTCACGTTAGACTGTTTACATTAAAGCAGAATTCCACAGATTTTCCAGTCTCTGCATAATTCCATCATTGACATGTAAACAAAGTCATTCAGAGTGTTTTTAATTTGAAATGGTTCCTTGTAGAGATACCTGCTTGAATTTCTTTACAGTGGCTGCGATAGAAACCAGGTTTCACAACATTTGCAATGCAAATTAAGCCTTTTTATTTACTATCCAAAAGTTTATATGCAAAATTGATAATGGTAAAAAAGTGGTGTATCTGAAACTATCATTTTCTTTGGGGACTATTGGGGACATAAACCTCTTCACCATGAATTGCTTTTTAAAGGTTTTAGGCCAAAATGTTATGTATCTAAGGCATTAGACATCCCAAGACAGTGTAGTAACAACCTTTTGTAACCATTATATAATAACTTATTCTCTTTACAAATCTGTCACCATTACTGTGAACAGTTCTGTAAATCTGAATTTGTCTAATAATGTTTCTCCATACAGATGAAGCTCAAGACCTGGCAGTGGACTTAGGAAAGCTTGCTAGTAGGCATATTGATTTTAAATCTGCCACTGAACATCAGATATCATTTGAAGACACGGCAACAGAATTGACGAGAGCAAAGTCTTTTCGGTTTGTAGAACTATTTTCATGTAAGAAATGGGAAGCAGTGAGTCATTGTTGCAAGAGTTCTTTTTTTGCACAAAGTAAATTTAGATAACAGCATTTAAACTGCCTTAACAACTCACCAGCAACAGTAAACAAGCCATCATTTAGTTAGTTGCAAATGGGGGTAAAGAGAGCGGAAATTCTGCATATACTGTTTTTTGATAAATGAAATGGTCCATCTGTGAGGATATTGGTCTATTATATTCTAGTAATTATTTCTACTGTGCTGCAGACTAATTAATAAGACATTAATGCAAATAGTTTGTGCAATACTTTGAATACATTTCTTTTTGATTTCAAGAACTTTGTGAGCTACTAGTACATTAGCATCTAAATACAGACTTTTTTTTTTTTAATGTCCCCCTTTTTTGTGAAATATACCTTGAAAAGTACTGCTACTTCCTTAGCAGATATGTATATTAAAAATGTTCAAATATGTTGTGCTAGTGTGTTTTGTCTTCACAATTTATTGGCTGTCTTTTGTAATAGTTTTTCATGCATTTTTTTCCTTTTTCCTCACAGGGAGTTCTTGGAACAAACTAAAAAAGCCTTGGCTCCATTCATGAATAGATATGATACAGTGACTCATGGTCTGGGTCCAAAGACATTTGATGTCAGTGTCCAGATCATAGAAGCGTACATGACACAAGTAATAAAACGGCTCACAGAAGATCTGGAAAACTAATGTGCAATACAGTTCAAAATGAGAGTCTTTTACAAAAACCTTTCTGTTAATTTCATTTGTTCATGGTTGTGTAGTAAGTGGCTGAGCTACCAGAAAGCGTAACCAGGAGAGCTTAAATTAAACAAAGAAAATAAAGTGTCCCCCCGTGTATTAAAAAAAAAAACACTGAATCCTTGTTGTTTCATTTTAAGCCTTTATACTATACAAAATGTTTTCACTGATTGATTGCCACAATCCAGTGTCACAGTAAAATTATTTGCCACAGGAAATATGTGCTGTTTGTCATCATTTGTGTCTCAGTTCATACATGAAAAATGACCTGCAGAATCAGCCTGTTTTAAAATTTAGATTCAGTTTATGTAAATCTTTAATAATGCAAAACATTTTTAGTGATGACTTGTATCCTGTACACCATCTGCTTAAATCAGTAATCAGTTTTCTTTTGCTTTAATATGTATCTGGATTGCCACTGAATTTGTGTGCTCACTTGATATCAGTTGTTTTTAGTTGCACTTGACTTGTTGAGGCTTTTAAGTAACATTTCAAACTTTCGTATTCTCCTAAACCCTCATCTCTCCCAAGCTACTTTGTAAACCAAGAGCATTTTGGGAAGTGATTTTTAATGCTGCTGTTGTTATTGCTTTGTTGTTGTTATAACAATAATAGTAATAATAATAGTAATAATAATAATAATAATAATTTATTGCTTATTATTTTTATTTATAAATTTGCTTGCTCAAAAAAGTAGTAAAAAAATCACAATTTTCAGCTTTGTTAGTTCAAGTTCTGTACATATCAAATAAATGCTGCTGTCACATCAAGACAGAACACCGTTGGTACCAAAAATACTAACCAGAATTCATTATTTTCCAGTAATATGGCTCAGCCCCATTGTTTAATTGACTCTTGTTGGAATAGCCCCATGAGAAACTGCACTTTAAATCTTGCTGTCCAGAATGTACAAAATAGTGAAAAGAATGTTTTGGCAAACATGAACAAAATTTCCACTGCACAGATGGCATGAACAGGTGTTGTCATTGTTTCATGCTACGTAAGGTGAGGGTGTTTTGTTTGTTTTTTTTGTGTTTTTTTGTTTTTTTTTCTCTCATACTTAAAATGTATGTTAAAAACTGTTATATGTATGTATATATGTGTATATACACATACACTTTTTTTAAGTATCTTGTAACTAAGTGCAGATAGCTAACCCTAGACCAATCAGAAGCAACCAAACACCCATTTGCTGTGTACATGACAACTGGCAGTCTGGAGCACTATGTTTAACATCCAGCCATGAAAAATAGTTACGTTCACCTTCTTGGACAAAAAAAACAGGCCTTGTTCTTAATTTATTGAAAATGATTGCAGTTAGATATTTTCGTTCAGCGCTGGGGGTAGTAGTCGTGTTGAAACACTACTCCATAAGGATAAGCTTAAACACAATTAAGGCAGTAATGAGTCATCTGTTTAGTCATTAGACGTTTACATGTGAAGAACATACCTCAGCTTGCAGTCTCCTTGATGTTCAGAACGTGTCCCCACACTTTCACTGGATGGAACCTGAGAAAAACCATGGTAAGAATTGTGTACAGATATGAAAAACATTTACTTTTTAAAGGTACAATCCTGCTTTAATATTGCTCTGAAGTCCACAATACATAATACAATCTCAGGGTAGTGACCTAATGTTACTCTAAGAGTAGTTCACTGGCTAACCTACACATGCGTCTCTGAAGGTAATTAATACCTTATATCCCTAAGTTTATTATTATTAGTCTAGGTTTCCTTCTATGACCCATTTAAAAATAGGAATAAAGTTCTTCATATAATTATGGCAAAGCCAGTAGTGCTGTCATATTTAAAAGCAAGCTACTACTGTTTTATAGCTAAATAACTAGCTGACCAAGTTAGCTGATTTAACGCACAAGCCACAAATGTAGGCTTTCTATATATCTAGGCTACGTGTTGCACTTCACACTGATGGCCTATTTTTTAAAAAGTAAGGCTACCTGCTTTAGTGGTCTTTTCTCAAAGAGTGAATTAGGCAGTTTTTATTATTATTTTTCCAAATGTAAATTAAACTTGGTCACACACACTTTTATCCATTAATGTCTGAGCTTTTATACTTCTAACATATGTCTTAAAATTGGTGAAAACAACAACTGAAATGGGCAGATACCCACTGGGCAAAGCCTGAGGACAGAAAACGCTACAAGCTTTCAGTCTAGCTTGCTAGTGTTTTAGGATCATGCCTGGCTCAGTTCTTAAATAAGTGTGATTTTTAGTTTTTCACACTGAACATGTCCGTTTTGTAGTCATCTAAGTTTAGATGAGCTCCAGATTTTATCAGTATCTGAGCATAATGAATTGTGGCATATTGCTTAAAACTTTAGCATGTATAGCAGATGTTACATTAAAGCCAGCCAAGAGGAATAGTCTGAAATATATTTGTTAGCTGATTATATCTCAAAATATGTAGTATACGGTATAGTAGCTTCTAATATGTGTGGCCTGAGAAAGTAGTGAAGAAAACATGTATAATGGTTTACACTTTCTTTGTATTAAGTTAATGTTTTTTTAATTACAATTTAGTCTTTGGTTCAGCAGCAGCACAGAACACAAAAAGTTTTCTCTTTTTGTTGTCCACCTTCCCTAACAGAGTGCCACTCACTTTTGCCCTCAACAAGTGATCGTAACAAATACTGTGCTCAGGTTAACAGCAGCTTATTGACCTCAGGCTGTTACCATATAGACTAAATCATCCACATAGGTGATCTCAGGTTGTTACCTTGTGTGTCTGCTTTAAGGCAGTGTAGCTGGCTTTTAAAATTATGATAATCTCTGGCGGTACACTCACTGCCCACATTATTAGTTACAACTACTTTGTTTCTTTATATTGCCTGTTTTACCAAGTCAGCTTACAATACTGGTGCATTTTGTAGTTTGATAATTACAGATTGTAGTCTGTCTGTTTCTCTGCATAGTTTTTAGTGCTACCATTTACCCAGTTTATCAATGCTGTGCTGAGAACGACCCACCACCCAGTTAATACCTGCTCACTGGGTCCTAACCATTGATAAACAGAGTAAACAAATGCTAACAAATTATGCACAGAAACAGATGATCTACAATCTTTAATTGTAGGGTTACAGAATGTATCTACAAAGCAAATGGACATGATAAAATGGACAGTGAGTGTAGATATAGTATAGGATTAGCTAATAAAGTGGCCAGTGACTGTATATTATTATTAAGTCAGCATAGCTGAGCAGGGTTAAAAGTGTATAGTGCAGTGGGTCTGCCATAGCAGGAGTCAGTAAACAGTGGTATAGGTCACAGATTCCCAACCCTGTTCCTAGAATACCCCTGCCCTGTATATTTTCCTGTTTTCCTGGCTTCTAACCCTGCCCACCTCAAGTCATGAAAGGCTTGTTAATGACCTGATTACTTGATTCAGGTGTGTTGGGAGTGGTGGAAACACTAAAATGTGCCTGGCAGGGGGTACTCCAGGACCAGGGTTGACTGTTGTATGTGGTAACTATTGTAGTGAGCATCTGTAACCCACAATGAATGGAAATGTGCCTGTTTCCAAAATGTCTCTGGAGATAATACGGTTGTAAGTATCTAATGGAAATTAACCTGGCTTACTAGTCATCATATGTAAGGTAAATTGCTAACTAGCTCTGTTTGTTGCAGATTATGCTAGGAAAACGTAAAATTAAAAAGGATAATGTCCTCCTTCACCCACCCCAAAAAACGAGCACAAGTAAGTCCTCTTCTTGTTAGTCAATCTTTTATTATTCCTCCATGAAATATGTAAATTGACTAATAATTTTTATTCTTATTTTAGGATTGCAAGCTGTGAAGCCATTTGAGGAGGAAGAAGAGAGGAGAGGAAGAAGCACAGCAGACAATGAAAAAGGAGGAGAGAGAGTGTATAAAGTTCTAGGAAGGTTGACTGTCCAAGGAAAATACTATTTAGTTAATGGTGAAGAAGTGAAGAGGCGAGTGAAAGGAGAGAATATGTCTGCCAATGTCTTCAGGGCTTTAATTAGGGTTGGTATTGTAATGTATTTAATTGTATGCATTTAAATGTTCTGGTATAAAAAAAGTGATCATCGTGATGTTTCAGTAAGATTGTGATTGTTCTGGAAAGTTTTGCTTTCAAAATCCAGTTAACTCGCAGTATGTTTCCATAGGTTGGGAGACGACACCTTCCCACAGATTTCTTGCAGCAGCCCAAAAAGGCCAAAACCAAGATCACAATATTCAGTGCTCTGACAGAGGGAGAGGCCGAAGATCTTGCTGAGGGTTTTGGGATAGCTTTAGTGAGGCATGTACCTAAGGACAAAGTCTTGGAAGGAGTTCCAAAGGAGGATATACCAGCTACATAGTAAGTCTTGTTCAGTGTAGGTAATACTGGGCTTTATCTTGGTCAATATCAATATAAGGTGCTCTTGATTGTTAATTTTGCCATTTTCATAAATACATCAACCTATTTAAACATGTCCAAGAATTTCTGTCCTCCCTGTCATTTTGGGATAACTGCCCCTGCAGGAAGGTAGATCTCCAGGACCAGGGTTGATGACCACTGCTGTAACTTGTACGCGTGATTCCTGCAGTAATATAGATTAGTAGTAATCACAGAGCCACTGTGCCACCCAAGTAAACAGAAAGCAATTTTGTGTGACAGGATATCAGAAATAGAGAAAGTAAATTGATGAATGAGTTGATTATCTTATTTACTCATTTAGTCATTTGTTCATTTATTTGCTTGCAGCCGGACTGTCCAAAGAATGAGACGGAACTTCCAAAGCCTGGGTGCAGAGTCTGTTTTTGACTTGACAACACATCGTTTTGGACCAGCAGCAGTCGAAGTTTTTTTTTCCTTCTTGGAGGAAAGCATGCATTAAACGTTATGTTGAAGTTCGGGGCTAATAAATATTTTGTTTACTACAGAGAATTTTGTCCTTTAGTGTTACTTCCTCATCCTCAGTTTCATGTAGGAGTAATATGAACACAACATTGATCATCTAGTGAAGTATTCTGATTCCAATTATTTATTTAAAATACCATAAATCAGAATTTCAGACTTTAGAGAAAAACTAGATAGTATAAAACTCCCTTGATATCAGCATAGCACTATCAACATTAGATCTTCATATAGTGCGACTACTATCATTGTTTTCTTAAGTTGTTTCATTAGTATGAGGAAAACAGTATTAACAAAAATAAGTAATCGTTCATTGGTACACTGCTTTGGCGCCCTACCTAGCCAGTCATCCATTGACACCCTGCATTGGTACACTGTGTAGCCTTCATGCTTTATTGTTATTTAGGAATTTCTCTCTAGTCCTTAATTATGTAATTATGACTGTATTAATTTCCTTAATACAGCCTTTAACTTTATAAGCATACACTGGGAGACATCTATGAAGAAGAACATCTGACCCTTTAAAGCAGTTTGTATGTTGTTCCAGTTTGATTCTTTTCATTCTTGAAGCATCTCACTTGAGAGCGACTTTTTACTGTTTGACAGTCTCTTGTTGCAGATTTAACGTTAACTTGCCAGGAAACCAACTGCGCTGCTTATAAATGCGAATAACGCATCGTTGCTAGGTGACCTGCGGTCTGCATGGCAATTCTCAGTCGTTGCGAAACAGGGCTTTCGCGCAATGTTGCACATGTCCCGTCTTGAAGATATCTCACTGACACAGCGACCCCCCCGCCACCACTGCTCATTTTATCGCACATGAGTGGCAGCAGCGTCTAATGTGCTCCAAAGGCAGTGAATGAGAGCCTTCTAGTTCACTTGCCACATCACTTCCATTTGTTTTATTAATAAAAGATATTGGAAGTAAATTCATTATGGATCATTACAAATACTTTGCTTTAAAACTACCAAGTCCTCACACAGTGAGAAAATAGAAATGATGTATAGAAAAAAAAAGATGCATTGATAATCATTTTATAATCGCATCGCAGCCCTCTGAATCGTGAGGTGCTTAGAGATTCCCACCCCTAGAATACAGTATCTTGGCTCTTTGTTGAAAGCATTCTCCAGTGCCAGTTCAAGCAAGTTCTTTTTCATTGCTCAGAACTGGAACACCATCCCAGTTTGCACAAAGAGAAAACATACTGGTTGTCAGTATGATTTGCCAGGATGATGACATACATTAATTAATATTGGCTGTTCTTGAACAAGGAAAGTGTTGGTCTGAGGTTGATGGTCACATACAAAATCAGTAGATTATAATTGACTGTTGAGAAACAGTTTTCCTTGTTGGTTTCCTTAAGTGTCATACTATACATGATTAATTGTATCAAAAAAGTTTTTGTTTTTCTGTAATATTTCATCAAAATATATTGACTTGCCCTCTTTTTGAAATGTCTTTCGATTTTTGTCTGCGTTGTCTGTATTCTCCAATTTGTATGTTTCAGTTTTTCGTATTCGTCCTTGCGTTATTTCCTTTATTTATATTTGAAAAACATGTGGTTAGATTGCATGAGACTGCATGAGACTTTCAGCAGCTCATGAAATGGAGGTGGCAGTGGGGGAAACCTCTGTGGTAAAAAATAAATAAATAAATATATAGTGAGGTGAGGTAATTACCTGAATGTATCTTGGTCTTATTGAAGGGATTGTCTTAATATTAATTGTTACATTAGAGTGATACCGTTAGCATTAACCATAGTGGAAAATTGTCAAAGCTAGCTAGCTAGAGAATTAGTCACTCACACAGTGAATAAGACAGATAGGGTTTGGAATCTCATTAATGTATAACAGTTCACGTTTAGAATTCGTTGTGTAGCAAATGAGCTCACAAGCTAAGTGATTGCTGACTTGTTCAGTACTGTTTCTTAATATTACCAAGCCAGGCAACATAAATGGTGCCATGAAATCCCAGTGGATTTAAGGCCAGCTTTGTTTAGCAGTTCTTACTTTGAAGAAAGGGTTTAAAAGTCTGCTTGTTTTTGTCTGACTTGAAAAACCACAGGCCCTTTTCGTGACTAGCTATTCACTGTAGTTTTCAAGCATATTAGCAGAGTAACCAAGTCAGTTTAGGTTCATGACCAAATGAATGAATGGTCCTTTGTCTTACCGCTCCCTGGGCCATATGATTCAAAGAAGAACTTTGATCTCCTGGAGTGTAGCAGTATGGCTACAGATAAGGCTGTTACTTGCCCCAACTTTCTGATTGTCCTTATTTCTGAGAATTCTGTGAAAGCTGGGACGCACTAGTTCTATTTTTATTTAAAAGAAATGAGAACACTGTCTTCTCTGTATTCAGAGAAGAAACCTGCTAAACATGTTCCTGAGCTTGGTATTTTTGAAATTCAGATCAGTGCTTATAGCGATACAGTGTGCAAAGCATTAGATGACACTGATGATTATACTCCTCTGAAATTTTACCGCAGAGGTGGAAGATTACTCTTCCCTCTCAAACACCAGCCGTTATGGAGACCATCTTATCTCAGATTAAGACCACCCTTCCGTCATTATCCGAGGAGCTTCTTCAATTGTTAGTGCAACGGCTGGACGTCATTGGAGTTGCTAGCGTTGAGGACCTCAGCCTGGTAACAGCCGATGATTTGGACGGAATTCTGCGGCCGATGCAATGTAGAAGACTGATCCAGGCTTTTAAAACAGGTAATCATCAGGTGATCATCTTGCTTTATTATGTAATGAATGTCTGATTAGAACTTTATATACTGTAACATGAATAGAATAAAAACTTTTGTTATCTATGTTTATAGCATGCTTTGTGTGCAAGATTTTTTTTTAAAATTGTAAGAAATAAGGCAAAAGCCAGAAGGTGCTTTATTTTCTTTTTTTGTAATCAGCAGTTTATTAAATCCATCTACAAATACTTTGTCTGGAAAAGGATTGAAAGTTGTATTCTATTATAACCCTTTTTCCCTTTTCACAGGACCATTTAACAATGTACAGATACCTGTGGAACCATCAGCCATTGCACGATCATCAGGAGAAATCACAGGGCATTTTCAGATTCCCTGGGACAAATTTCCCCCAGAACTTATAAAAGCCATGAAGGAGCAAACGCGCCCACGTCCGTCATTAAGACGAGAAATGGTCCGTATCATTATTAATGATTTGCTTGCCGTAGAGCAGAAGAGGCCGGGACGGGGCGTTCTTCGGCAGATCGCTCAAGAACTCGTTCAAAAATATCCCAAGTCTTTCTGTGATGTATGTGGAGATAACATTGTTGGCACAGGATTCGACTCCTTAATGCTTCAGATGGAGAACAGAGTGGATAACTGTAGCAGGCATGTGACAGTAAGATCAAAGAGACCAGCAGAAGGTGATGCTAGTGCCAAGAAACCCAAACGGTATGATCGATATGGTTGTGTGTAGTGGCAACCAGATCTTCCAGCCACTGAAGATGCGCCAAGTCAGACTGACAAGAAGATAGAGCTACAAAATTCGTATGCAAAGAAGAAGCTTCCAGAGACCTGTGTCAAAAAGCTAATGGCTGAAACTTATTACAGCCAACGCCTCTCAATTAACATTGACAGTAAAACAGTTAGCGAGTTGAAAAGCGAATGGCCCTACTTGTTTGAAGCGACTCATTTCTTTGATCACACTGAAAGACTGCTTGGCATCCCTGTTCAAAAAAAGCTGGCGGAGGAACTGTCAAAAAAGGGAAGAACAATAGTGAACTTTTTAATGCAAACAAAAGCGACTCAGTTTGCAGTAATTGAGGAAATACTCAAAGACCCACTGGAACTGCTCTCCAGCATTGGCAGGTACCTTGGTGATAATACTGAGGTGCTGCTGATCCAGAAAGGGGTAATTATTTTTTATTAAACTTTTATATAGTTCATATATTAGCATTCTTGAAAATATAAAAAATGCATCAATTTTAGAATCAACAGTTGCTTTTTTGCTTGTTTTGTTTTGTTCTTGTTTTATATTATATGCATATTTTATTTTGTGTTTAAGGGTCTCAACCCTGCCACACTGAGCTTGCCAAGCACTCCATGTGTCATCATCCTTGGTAAGAAACCTATGATTTTCATATTTTTCCAATAGCATATGTTGAAGAACAGTTGTTCTCAGTCTTTTGGACCAATAAACTATTGGCAGTTTAGCAGTTAGCAGTTGTACCCATATTCATTGGATGTTTCAGGAACACCTACAGTCGTATGCAAAAGTAAGGGTGCCCCTGATTACATGTTCTATTGCTTCATTCTTAAGAAGAAATTTCTTCTTAAAACCCACTCATGCTGTTTTCACAAAGATTCTGACATTCACCAGTGTTTTCTCTTTGGAATTTGTTCTTAGATATAAACAGAATCTATGCACACTTGAGCGCAAAAGCAATTCAGCGGTTTAGGACAATTGAATATGAACAAATACTACCCAGATAAGCTGGATCATGGAAAGATCAGTTAGCTCCTAACCAGCAGCGAACACGTTTTTGTACAGAAAGGACTGTTTTATTCTGCTTTAAAGGTTCAAAAACAATTTGGAGTGCACTTTAGACGAGACAAGTGAGTCAAACATAACAGAGACAAAGACAAGACTGAGAATGCTACATCACTATAATGGACAACTTTTGCATGTTTTAATACATTTTTTTTCCCCAAACATGTTAAACTCAGCTAATACACCGAACATTTGCAGAAAAATACAGTATTTAAGTTTGTTCTCTGTAGAGGATGTCAACTTGCTTTCTTTTAGAAATCATAATATATAATTTGACCAGGAGTGCCCAAGCTTTTGCTTATGAATGTAGGTGCACTTCATAGGTGTACAATTACTGACTGGAGTTCATCTGTTTCTGTGCCTGATTTGTCAGCCCACCTCTGCCCTGTTCATCAGTAGACCACCGTAGGACCTCTGCTAACCAGATATTATTTTGGTGGTGGACCACTCTTAGCACAGCAGTGATCCTGACATGGTAGCGTATGACTGTGGTGCAAGTGTATCGGGCACAGCAGTGTTGCCTGAGTTTTTACACCTCAGTGTCACTGCTAAGTTGAGAAAAAGTATCCAGCTGATGGTAGTCCTGTGGTCAGAAACTGATGAAGGGCTAGAGATTGACAAACATCCAATTGGGCATAGATAGGGGCTGATGAATTGTGCCACAACTGACAGTCTACAGTCAGTAATTGTAAAAGTGTGTGTACATGGTAGGTGTACCTAGCAAGCTGGAAACCATGTATAAATTGTGTTTCAGGTAATAAACGCTTTCAGATGGCAGTGGACCAGACAGTTGTCAGTGATCATCTGTGCTGCCCATTGACAGCATTGAGCTATCTGTTTAGTCTCTTCTACGTTCTCAATATTCGATACCCAAAGGACGCAGCATTGTCACTGGAGTTTATTCAGAGGTTAGTGTTGTGTAAGGACTGTTTGAACAAATGTATTGATCTTTTTTAAATTTTAATTTCAAACAAATCGTCAATCATTTGTATGTCTGGGGAAAAAAGGGTCATACTTTGTATATTTCTATGCAACAGAAGTCTCCTGGGGATCAATCCTGGACGAGGGACCAAAGTGGAAAGGAAAGGAAAAAAGCAGCACAAGATACACCCTAAGCTGTTAAAGTTCCTCTCTGAACTGAGTGACTATCAAAACCCATGGACAATCTAACAGTCACTCTTGGTCAATAAGGTTAGCAAACTGCATGCAGACAATAAGATCAAAAACAAATCCAAGTGCTTAGGTTCTTTCCTTGGTTGTGGCATCTGGATATAAGCGTTTTGTACATTCATTATGCAAGAAGAATGTTTAATAATGTCATTATATACAAAAGAAAAAAATATGGAAAATTTACATTTTTTGTTTGTTCTACAGGAAGATTGTCTACAAAGGTCTGCAAGAACTTCACAGTGACCTCCCCAACATTCTACTGTAACATGTTTATGAACACGATCCTTTATGGCTTAAGCATCATTAATAAGGGGGCAATAGGTGGACTTTGGCCTCTAAAAAGATTGTGCAGTAAGCATGCTGTGCTATTAGACAACCGTTTTGTGTTCCACCAAGAGTGCTCCTCTTCAGTCTGCCGAATTGCTGGAGGGCTATCTAATGAAACCTTAAGCCTTATGCCCATGTGCGCAAGGAGCAGTAGATAAAATCATTGGAGAGGGTTCAGTGGCTCACCAGACAGATGCCAGCGAAAGGGTAGAGGCCATGTCTCATGTTGTTTTGCTGCACCAAAGATGGGCATGTTACCATTTTTTTTTCTTTTCTCTTCACATTCCCAGATTTTTAAATGGTACTTAAGCAGTAATACTTGATTTAGTCATTTCTGTTTTAGGCATATGTGAGTTAACATTCTACCAGTTAAACTTGAGTTGCCAACTTGCACTGTACAAAATGGCCATTAAATAAATGTTATTCATTTTTCAGCATTGAGGGAATAAAGCACATATTTAACAAAACCTTATACTGAAGCCTCAACAACTACATATAATATTAACTTTTTTTAGTGTTTAGTATGTCCACTCTTTGCCTTTATTACAGCTTTCAGTATTTTCGGGAGACTTGCTTTTAGAAATCTACAGGGATATTTTTCCAAAACTCCAAAGTTCAATCTTAGAAGTTAGTTGCATTTTCTGCTTCTCACGGTCTAAGATATCCAAACAAATTCAGTGATGTTGAGGTCTTGACTGGGATGGCCAGTCAGTTGTTCTGAGAACATCAGCAGCTTCTTTGATTGATTTGCAAATTTTTTCTTTTTTTTCTATTTCCTTTTCTCAGTATCAACTGCTTATTCATGGATAGAAACACCTCTGGATGTTTTCAGATCTGATGTAAGAGTGGAGCTTGATTTTCTCCTCTCTCTCAAAGATGAAAGCTTTAAGTACTGTTTATCTGATTGTGACAGTTTTTATGCTCTACCAGGTCTTTCATGGTTATTGGGAATCTCATTTTCTCTACATCTTGTTGTTTGAACTCTAGTTTTAGAAACTCTTAGTGTCTTAACTTTCCACTTCCTTATGTAAGTGGATTATGTTGTCTGATCTCTTCAGAAATATCTCCTGAAAAATGAATAATGTGTACTTAATGGCTTGTTGTTTACTTCTTGTACTTGTTTGGCGTTCACTGGGGAAGATGTGATCAAAGACATTTACAAAGAACACAAAGTGGCAAACATTTATCAGGGAAAAAAGGTGACAATTACTGTATCTGAGGGGATAAATACAGCGTTTACAGTCTGTACACCTATATGGAAGTTTGTTTATAATGAAAAAAAAAATTGTGCTTTGCAGGATTTGTCAGTGTGTCATGGTCATGAGGTTAATTTTTTATGGTCACCTTGCTTTTACTTTATTGTTGGAAGTGTATTTTTTTTTTTTTACTTTAATTACACTGTATTATTTTATAGACCTTTATTTCAACTATGGTAGACATAAAACCTTTGTTAGCTTTTGTATGCTTGCTTTTGATCTAATTAAATTAAGCTGTTTAGCAATCTCTACTTTGCACTCTGATGCCTCTTCTCTAACAATGTTTTTAACAGCCTATTCCACTGAGTTTAGCAGAATATTGATTCATCAAAAGGTTCATATAAAATAAAGGGATTGTCGGTTTACACCTAAAAATGCACATTACATTTTCACTGCTATCATTGGTTTCTAATATTTATATAAAATACTTTGTTTGAATCTGTAGTGGGCTTAGACGGTGGCAATCCTGAAAGTACTGGAGCTGAAACTGGGCGGCACAGACCGCCCCCAGCACATGTTCAGCGCGTGATCTGAGCACATGCATTTGTGTCTGTAAAAGGAGGGGGGGAGGGGCTGGACTCTTTATTACCAACCTGTGGGTCTGTTCCAATTCAACATCATCTGCTCAGAGTGAAACTCATCAATAAACTATAAATGACCAATTACCATAATCAATTACCTGCATTATAAACAGCTCATAGTAAATCTCCAAATTAAACTAAAAGGAAAGAATTAGTTCAAAAGTACTTTGTGTGTCTCTGATGAAGACAAGGCCTGCTTTGCTGGCTTTTAAAGTTCTAGCACTCAGTTTAAATTAAAGAGTAGAGAAAATAAAAAAAAGGCTGGATTACGCTGACCAGACATTTGCTATATCTTTATTTTCATAATAACAAGCCACTAAATGCCACCATCCAAGTTCTTGTAGCCCACAGGCCCTCTAGTCTCACAATTTCTGAAAAATGTCTGAACTGAACACCTCTTTTTGGTCTTTACATGCAAAAAACTCCAAAAAATATAGGAGGTGATTTTTACACGTGGCATGTGTGACGGTCTCATGTAAATAGTGTGTAATTGACAAATACAAAAGCATCTTATGCTTTAATTATTTGAGCTTGAGTCTTTACTTTTGTTTTGCTTTATTCAAAAGGAATTATGCAACTAGTTTATCAACATAGGAAGTTATGCAATGAAATACATTTACGTTCAACTTACATTCTTTATCAACAGGTTCAAGTTTGCACTTCTTTTTATTTTGATATCAAGTAACAATAAAAAATCTGCAAAATGTAAAGACTGTATTCACACCTGTAACGTCTTAAGGTGAACTCCAGTAAAAATGGACCTGAATTGTTTTGGACTATTTGGACTAGTAATAGTGTGCAACTGCAACACTACTGCAACAAGTCGTTACTGTCCTTTCTGTTCCATAATATGTTGGAGATTCAGACCAACTTTCTCAGTTTCAGTGTTTGTCCTGTATGACAAATGTAAATGTAATCTTTTTTTTCTTTCACCACAGCTTCCATTGATGGGTAGAGCAAGAGTTGCCCGTCACAAGAGATGCAATAATTACGATACAGTGGGACAGGATAAAGACCTCACCCAGTGGAGAGAAAGGTATGTTTTAATTTTTAAAAATTTGTTTAACCCTTTAACTGTCCACTCATTTACTTAGTTTACTTTCATATTGGACAGCACTTTGGAAAGGAGAAACCTGCGAAAAGTAGATCTGGCCGTGTGATGCATGAATCGCCATATTAAAATAAGGGATGAGATAAAAAATAATACAGAAATAGTACTCTGTATTTGTCTCAAATGCTTTAGAAGGTATCATTCCCGGCATGGACAGCTTCTTATATTAATGAATTCATGAAAGTGTGCGTGTGATGATATTTGAATCAACATCTTTTTTTACATGTATTTAAAGTTTAGCTTTTTAGGTTAACACTTTGTAAGTTGCCTAAATTGCACAATCATGCAGTAGGTAGTTGCATAAGTTTTCGGTACAAATTAAGAACTGTTCTTTAACTGTAAGCTGTTTATGTGCCCTGCACCAAGCTTGAGTACTGGTGGATTGAATGATTACACCTTGACCAACAGATTACGACACTTTATTGACGTATCAGTTACAGTTCCAATTCAACCCTGTAATAAAAGTGGTAGTAAAGCATTCATGCTTTACTTATAAATTAAATTGAAATGGCTTCAACTCAGATAAAGAAATGTTAATGCTATGTGCAATTTAGAGATTATATTAGTGGCTTACACGTTGATGTAACACCTGCTGTGGACATCTTACATGCACCGAAAATGGGTCTGACAGGGCTTTAAATATTAAAGCTATTGAAATATTATTGCTTTTAGGTGAAGTGTTTTGTTACAATATTGTAGTTTGTCATTTTACTTTATGGTGGTTGGAATTCAATTGTCATTAAACCTCATACCCCTATAATGACTTTGTAGTAAAACGTTACATTATGTAGTGATTTTTAGTGGTTCGTGAGCCAACATAGTCCAACATTTGGCCAAATGACATGTAGTTACAATGAGAGAGACCTCATCAAAATAGAAACCAGAACACTGTCACAGTACAAGAAGAAAGAATGTAGATATTTTGATCAAGTTTTAGATGTTTGATATCAAACTCTTTAGTAAGGTCTCTTTTAAACTGTTCTTATTTATTTATTTTTTTAATTTACCTCTTGTCCTTTTCTCAGTATCAGAATGCGAGTATATGGTGTTGAACTCCCAGAAAATGCATTTGGCCTTAGTAAATCACATTTTGTGTGGCTCAACTTGGATCTTAGATCTTGAAACCTTTCCAGCATTTTATTTCTAAAATGTTCCAGTAGTGCATTCATTCATTCATTGTTTAAATCACTCCTTCATTCATTTATCATTCTCATTTCAGTGTCTGGTACTTTTGGCTGTATTTGTAAAAATGTATTACTTCAACCAATAGTTAACAGAGTGATTCATCATTTGCATGCTTTGTCCATGCCACTACATTCTTCATTCATACCATTTATCCACACTTTCACAGACAAGCATGACATTGTATTCTGTTTTGCTTGCTTAGAGTTGGGTTGAATGCTCTCGTTTGTTTTTGGACAGTCTGCACTGGCCTGTTGCCTCCTATGATTAGATCCTACCTTGTTTCCTGTAGTTAGAGTCAACCACTACCTACGCAAGGTTACCGTTATAGGACAGCTTTTTTTTAGCCACACACTTGGCTTCCTATTTTCCTCACAGTGATTTGATGCAACAGTGATTCATTAGGTTAGAAGTAGACAGCAGGAAGCATTTCAAACCCTACATCTTTCTTTAAAATGTTTAAACCCATGAAAGTGCTTTAAACATGTCCAAGAATGTTCTGAAGTATAGGAGTTGCTATCAAACATATCATGTGAAGGCAAGGCATCCTTTTATGAGGCACAGCACTGGGCAGTTTGTGATCAGTGGTGCATAGCATATTTAAGTTGATAAAGCCTATGAATTAAAAAATACAGCTGTGTCCATGGATGTCTCAAGATGCATGGTTGATATGTTTTGGTAAGGGTTGTTTTCTTTGTATTTTTATTAATATTTGTGAAAAACAAAAGCGAAGAAACAAAACAACAAAAGAAACCTGTGATTACATCAAGAAGAGTAAAATATGAAATATTCTCTGTGTAAAAAGCAATAATGAATAAAACAATATTGTGTCCAAGCAAAGCATGATTTTGACTGGACACTGAGAGCACAATGCTCAGTCATGCCTTTCAGGGAAATGGCAGAGCATCAATTTACAGGCAGCGACTGAATACTAGAAAAGTAGGACAGCAGATGTTTCCAGAAACGATAATATTTATGTGATCCTCTGATTGCATATTTAATATGTTCCAAATGTAAAGGCAGCTTCTTGAACCCATTGACCCTCTAGGTGACCCTCCAATTTCCAAGTAATCTGAGTTGTATCAGACCCACTTGTGTGCAGGAGGTGCTATTGTTTGCTCTTTGCAATGCACTGTTCCATACTTTCTTAAGTTTTACTCCGAACTCCAATCAACCTTTTTATACTGTTTACTGTTTATGTACCGTAATATGAACATATGGAAATGATGAGGGAAAAATGCTGCAGTGTAAAGGCAGGGTGTAATTTAGCTGGGTGGAAAATACAATTTTTGCATATTGGGCTTTGAATAAAGAGATTCTGGCAAGTGCAGATTTAACTGAGCCCAGATTTTTAACTGAGCGGTTGTCATGCACCATCTGGACTCCTACTTTTTAGATCAGCTGTGGGGTCAGAAACTGAGAACCGAATTCTTTAATACAGTCATATGCAAAATACACCCCTGTTCACATGACTGGAAACAATGTTTTGTTGATTTCTGCAGTGAATATTAGTTAAAATATTGTCTATAGGGAACCAACTTAAAAATGGCATTTTTCTGCAACTATTTATTTTTATCTATTTATCTACAGCTTGATACATGCTACCCTGCCACTCAAGATAACTTTCTATGAATCTCTCTCTATGTTTTTGAGTTTCAGCGCACACACACACACACACACACACACGCACGCACACACACACACGCACACACACACACGCACACACACACACACACACACACACGCACACACGCATCTTCTAAGCCGCTTATCCTTCTGGGTCATTTCACTACAGCTACAAAGTATCAGTATCAGTATTGAGGATGTTTTAGTAACAGCAGAATATCATTACTATTAATTTTTTCTTTTTTACCCTTACCCCTTGTTTTCGACTGTCACCCTACCCCCTTGGAACTGAGTTACAAGGGGTAGTGGTTGAAAGCTTGCCTGGGACAACCCTCAAATAAAAAAAAACAACAAAAAAAAACACATTGCTTCATTAACAGGCTACTAGCGGTGCTCTGTAGGCGACCCAGCCCATCTTCAGTGATATAAGACAATTATTTATTATCCCCCACCGCTAATCCTTTGGTGATACAAAGCTGAAGTCAGCTATTCACCAGCTTCTTGTTCAGATTTTCCTGTTCCACCTTAAATGGAGCAGCAGTTACATTCTGGTGCTTCAGGCGTCAATACTTCTGGACTATTTAAGGTGGAATGGGAAAGTTAATTAGCTAGCTACCGAGACATTAGCATGCTATTAGCGATTTTTTTTATGCTTGTTACGAAGAAAACAACCATAATACATTAAAACGACATTAAGATAATGCATTAAGATAATGCAATTTTTAACGGAGAAAATACTTACATTTGTGGATTTCTTTGGTTGCTTGTGCAGCCATCCTGCCGGTTTTTCTGTTTTTTTCTGTTTGGAGTGAGCCTCTGAAAAACCTCCGTTTGGAGGGAATGCGCAAAACTAAGGGCTAAGTGGCAGGGCTGAAATGGGATCGGGCCTAAGTGAAGTGGAGCTCAAGGTGTGTTTTAAGAGCTATCAGCATAAATGCATGCGTCTCTCTCATGTTTTTTAATGTTGTTGTTGTTTTGTTTTTTTTAAAAACATTCAAAAACTCACCTTTTCTTTTTGTTGCCATGTAATATCATAACCTTGGTAATTGGAAGAAAGTAGTCAGGTCTGGCTGTTGGGGCCACTCCCTCAGATAATGAGGACAGTGAACTTGACACTAGTGAAATTGAGCAAATAACATGGCCTGAACTTTTGGCAAGAAAATATCTATCTGCACATTGTTTGAAAGATGCACGCACACATTAAAGCAAGAAAGCACACAATGTAGGAACTGTGTAATACAAGCCCAACTCCAAAAAAAGAAATTTATAAAATCTACCTTGACCTAGATTAGCATAAAAACGGTACAAAGACAAGATTTATAGGGATGCATTGACACTATTTCTGACTGAGTATGAGTACATGTTTTTGAGTCCGATATCATAATGAATTACCTACATAGAATTAAGTAGTTTTTAGTGTAAATGAGTATTTTAACAATTAAATAATTCAAATCTAGCTGATTTTAAATTATGTGCATATTAATGTTTGTAGTTTTTTAATTTATTCATTCCATTCTGTCCATTTATTATTTTTTCACCTTTTTGCAAGCCTATGTGACATTCAGCATAAAATCACCTATTGAATTTGTGGCTAAAATGACCAGCAACTTCGGATCTGACTGACCACTGTGTCAGAAACAGTTCTCTGAGAGCAGACCCTCATTCACTTTTAGCTTGAGGGCGTTTTCACACCTGAAAGTCTGGGCCAAGGTAAGACCCAGGGTTTATATTTTTATTACAGAGAAGTGTTTCTGTATACGTTTGATCTGGTTAGTTTCGGTTTCTCGTTGCAATTTTGCGAGCGCACTAAGAACTTTGCGTGACAAAGCTATGTCCTGCCATCATCTATGTAGGCTGCGTCTCCCTATACTTAACATTGATTGGTTTATAGAGGAGCGCACGTCTGATGATGGCATGTAATCAATCCGGTGGGTAGCCTTTTCCATTTGAATGGAGAAACATGAATACCTTTCCTCTCTCATCTCTCTCATCCTCTCAGAAAATAAGGTAGAAGTTTCGGCATTTTCATGCATTTTTTCAAGCTGACTTTTGGCTTATTTGTCGGACCGAGCTACAACTACAATCAAATATTTGGTCTCCTCCTCTCCCCATGTACTACCACAGCTCATTTTACTTCTTTTTCGGTTCTTTTTCTTATTCTGTTGTTTATTGGGTTCCCGGACCAAGACCACCCCTGATCGAACTTGAACAGGTGATCATGCTTGGGTATAAAAGGAGCATCCAGACATGACTTAGTGCTTTATAAGCAAGGAAAATAACCATCCTCAGCAAGGATTTTGTTTATTTCACCATCGGCAGTGCATAATGTCATCAAAAGACTCCAGAGGAATCTTGGGCAAAGGAAAAATAACAAATGAATGCCCAAGACCTTCGATCCTTCAGGTAGCACTACATAAATAAACGGCAAGCGGACTGTCGCCTGTAGATTTTGCGCCATGTTCTGTTGGCACTAGTTGGCTCCAGTAAGAGTGGTTTTGGTCAGTTCAGCAATTTGAATCAGTGTCTGCAGCCGGTGGTAAGACAGTTCACTGATTGACTTGTAAGCCTAGCAAATCAGTGCACGAGTAGAGAAGCAAAAAGTGCAAGCAAACGATAATCTTGAGAGGTCACACAAAACATATTCATTTTTCAATGTCTGTGCAAGTAGCTTTTCAAGTGCAAGTTTCACCACCCAGGATAGGCATTTTAGCCATTTTTGCTTTGTTAAAACAAACAGTATGTGAATATCCTATTTCCAGTTACAGTATTGTTTAAATTAGAAATAACCCTGGACACACAAGCTCTTAATTTTCACAGAGTGAACACAGTAACATACAGCACAGTAGGGATGAACCGATCAGTGTTTTTGGGGCCTGTGTCAATCGCTGATCGCCTTTCAGCACTATTGGCCAATAGCGTTTTGTGATCGAAGGCAGGGCTGCAGAAAGATTGTTTATACTTGAACTCAACAGTAAAACAAATACACTCCTCCCTTCCGTGGTCCTTCAGAAACTCTGCCCCTGAATTCATGGATGGATTCTTTTTTTTTTTCCTTCAGTCTTTGTGGCCATAAAACAAACATTGTATGGACAAATGCCATGACGTAACGTTAGAGCGAACAATGACTTTTGTAGTCCTGCAGCATAAGCTAAACTGAGATTAGCACTCAGATGCTAACGTGCTAACAGACATTAATCCTCAAAGCTTTCATAACAAACAATGTTAATTATAGCTCTGAACACTCAAACAGCAAATTTACAGCAAAACTGGGCCAAATATGTAATAATATACTTCAGGAAAAATTAGTGAAATAGATGTGATGAGGCTGAAGTTGGCTTCCTGTTCTCCAGCTTGTTGTTCAGATTTATCCATTCCGCCTTAAATGGTGCATCAGTTACATTCTGGCACCTGAGGCGAAATATGGCTCATATGTTGTACATCACCGATCAGCTCTCAGAATCGGCTAAGGTAGAGAAATATTTGGGCTGAAGAAAGGCTGATACCGATACATAGCTTGATTGATCCATCCATCTCTAAAGCACAGGATGCTGTTGGATGTGGCTGGTTTTTGTTAACCTGACTTTTTAGTTTTCTGTTTTCTGTTTCATGTATATCCATTTATTAGACTCCTTGAGTCCTCCTCTGAGTTTTCCTGAGTTATGTTAGCGTCCAGCTAACAGTGATGTCCTTTTGCTTCCCTGCCCTAAGTTTAGCTTGAACCTAAATATTTGTAAGCCATTCAAACAACATTTACTTTGTACGTTGCAGTTTTACAGTGAATCTCCAGTAAACGTTTCAGGCCTAACTTTGAATATTACTTGTATCTGGTCAGCCTAGACCTTTGCATGTTTTCTAGTTTTTCATTTTTTAATTCATTTATTTAAAATACAGATTACTGCCACAGTTTCACATCACATCATGTATGTACATGTTCCATGTAGGCTATAATTTTTCCAGTGTTTGAATGCCAATTTTCACAGAAATCATAAAGCGATAGGTGGTCAGTAATCGCTCTTAGTTGGCCTAGTTTATTTACCGTCGGCTCGGTCTGTGCTCTTACAACACAGGGCAAGGTTGAAATAGAAAAGGAGGGGATGGATTTGGTAGAATTCTCTGCCAAAACTGGGAGAATTTGGAGGATTTGGTAGTGGTGACATGCTGGTTCCTCTACAGGCAAGACTGTGATGGGAATGAATTGAGAAGAAATGAGCACATGAGGCTGTACGCCTTCAAATCCCAGATGGAGCAAGGCCTGTGCAAGAGCAGCAGGGGACGCCCTGCTTCAGTCCCAATCCCAGACATTCGGATGGACTGCACATCACACTGGCCGGCCATGACTGGCAAGAAAGGAAGATGCAGAGTTCCTGGGTGCAAAGGCATTCCAAGGGTTTTGTGCATGAAATGTAACGCACACCTTTGTTTCACCAGGCAAAGCAACTGTTTTCTGAAATTTCACACAGAATACTGCTGAATGCTGAGCTGGACTTTGTACAGCAAGTCATACCTAATGACGCTTATTTTAACTTATTTCCTTATTCTGTTTTTGCTGTTAGTTATAGGGTCCTGCATGAATTCAGTATTGACTGTTAAGTGAAGAACAGTGTTGATCATTTCGACTGACAGATTTTTGCACTTTTGTTTCCTCTCTTGATTTTATATTGGGTGGGATTACATTGGAAGAAATTGACATTTTTCCCAAACCACCCCATACAAACCATAGTGTATTTCGTTTAATCTAAATGACCACCACTATGCTAGCTAGCTAGCATTTTCTACATTTTGTAGACTGTACCATTTGCAATTTTATTAAATAACTGCATCCCTTCATTTGTCACCTTTTTGTGGCGATACAGAGTCGAAGGCCGTGGACAAATCCAATGCTGCTTTAATGATTTGTCACCTATGGTGGCCGCCTATTCACAGGACTATAATTTAGCAAATGCTAATGGTGTTTTACACCTCTTTTAAAGTGTCCTTCAACTATTTGGTTGAACTTGAGACAATTACATTGTGTTTTCCACACATTTTGTGATGTTTTGTGATTTTTGTAATTTATTTTGCATGTACTGATGAAATAAATTATTAAGAAATGTATACGTTTTCTCTGTGATTTCAGAACGCCTGTGGCACAGTGTTGCCCCGAGGCAACAAACTGTTTAACATTGTATCCTAAATGAGGGAAAAAGGGATTATTTTCAACCCCAAAATATGTGTACTGGAGTGTTTCTTTTCCTAAACAATACATTTAACGTTCACAAAGTTTAATACATTCTGTCTCTTCAGTTTAGTCTGAAGCATGCCTAAATGTCAATGTAAACTTGTTGCTTAATTGCCTGTATAGCCCTGAACCATTAATTCCTCAGTGTATAATCAAAGTTAGAAGTAGTACTATTAGTAAACATTGTTATTCTAATAAATTCTTATAATCAGAATGGAATTTTTCCTGCTCAGGAAAGTTTATTGATTAACTGTTATGTACACTTTGTAATTTCCAAGCAACGTACTTGAAATGTAATTGAAATTTAATGTAAACGTAAAAATGAACCTGAATGGACTCGGGAGTGTCGCAGGATACAAAGTACCATTCTTATTGGCTAGTAATTAGAGAGGAGAGCAGCCTGTCAATTGTGTCATCAGCAAAACATGAAGAGGAAGCTGTGAGCTCCATCTCCCACATGTAAGATATAATTCTCATTTCATTTATTCATTACTTTTTGTGAAAGTGAATGAAACTTGTTGTGGCTGTATATACATATTTCCTTAACGACTTTGTTATAAATTGTCCATTGACGGTCTTTGTGGTGCCATTTGTGGACTATTTCACACATAATCTATACAGATATTCTCTTATTATTTGATTATATCACTGTATGTGATTAATTATTATTTATTTTATAGATTTCAGTTTTCACACCAAATTTGGGGCTGCTCGCATCAGCTCAAAATTTCAGGGCTGGGTCAAGGAGCATCTAATAGACTACAGCTTAACCCACAGTCTTCAAAGCTCCAAATTCTAGGTAAATAATAAGAGCTTCTGTACAACTTTGTGCATGCCTTACTTACTTACTATCTTTAAACATGACAATGAATAAACATTAGTTGAGAGATAAGAGGTGTCAATTTCGGTCCTGAAGGGCCAAAAACATTCCAGCACAGTTTTATGATTTCCAACTCACACACCTTATTAAACATAATTACCATGTTTAGTTGCAGCGTTAGAACAATGTGCTGGACGCCAAACCCTCCAGGACCGGCATCCATGACCCCTGGATAGTGTTTGTGTGCTGTTAAAGTACTTTATGCTCTTAGATTCATTCATTACATATAATTTCTGTTTTATCTGTTTTTACAAACTGTGTTCCAGGATGCAGATTCATGTATTGACAGTCCAGAAATGCAGTCTAAATAAAGAAGACTGAAAAAGGTAATCAAAAGCAATAAAATATTACCTTTTTATTATAGTAGGGGAGAGCAGTGCACAACCTAAAACACATGTTGGTTTTTGGTAAACATTAAAAAAATGTGCAAGATTAATAATTTTTATCTAAATGCACATGCACATCTGCACTGAAAAAGAAAACCTATACATTGTTTCCAGCAACAATTTAGCCAGTAGCATGAGTGCAACTGTTGCAATTTATCTTATAGGTGCAGCGTCTAGTTATAACAGTCTAGGTTGTTTGAAGCAAATCAGTTTTCGCTGGTAAATTTACTTTTGACCTCAAAGTAAAAGAGGAAATATCAGAATGATTAAATTGAAATATAAACGTATTTACATTAAATCTGTGCATAAACACGTCAACAGAATCATTCAGCTTTCACAGTGAGTTGTTTGTATGCTTTAAAACAGTGCTATATTGCAGCCACCCAGAAGGTGGTTAAAATAATATAGATGTGAATCTTGCGAAGTCAAAAAAGGCTTATGATTGGAAAAAAGTACCTTTCATGGTACAAAAACCATGAAATTGTTAATGGTTAATCTTGGGAAATGTTGGTCAGATTGTTGTGAAAATTTACAGATGATTGTGCTTTGGGAATACAAGAAGGTGACCAAAAGCAACTTACAAAATATCCATGTTACATTTTATGTTAGGTTGTGCCCTTTGCTCCCCTCTGTTTTAACATACCATATGTATATGGTGTAAGGCTCTAATCTTCATTGCTCACAGTGATAGGATCTGTGCAAAGAGCACCATTAATAGGGTTATCAGAGTGGACAGCATGAGCCCGTTTTGCTATGTTGAAATGCCATGCAAGGCAAAAATAAGAAGTATATAGAAGACTAAAATAACTCACTAGGAATGCTAGGAAATGGCTTGCCTTGTTATGCTACCCTTTGTGACATCACCTTTTCTTTTTCTACATAAATGTCACCGTTTGCACACTAAGTTGTAAGTAACTGTGGAACAGTCACCTTTTTTGTTTTCCTTTTGTAGGACTGAGAACGACTGCTATGCTAAATGACCCCGCAGATTACTGATGATGAAGGCCAAGATTATGAATTTGAGATGGCATGGTGATAAATAAATCCCTGTTAAGAGGAGAAAGACATTAAGCAATGTTGCTGAGTAAATTACGTCAGCCCACACTTTAAATCTCATGCTTATGTTTTTTGTACACTTCACAAATGCAAAGAGAAACTCGAATTAGCATGATGTTCATTCTAAACATCTTCGGACCATCATTATTTTCTGAAACTAAGCAATCAAACTGTGTGTCCTTTGTTTACTTTTCATGTTTGCATGCTGGAAAAATATGAACGCTTGTTAGTCAAATGCATTTCAGGTGGTGTGTAAAATGCAAATCAGCTCATAACACTATTTTCCTGCTTGCTGATGGTGTTCTTTAATTCCGTTGTTCCGTTGCCACCTCGAAAAATGCAGTTTTTAATGGTGAACAATTTTGAATTTTCAACTTTGGCAGTCCACATTTTGCTTTAATTTGTAATGTGTCATGGACACTACAAAACTTTAAAAATCTCAGAATCGCTGCACTTCTGACACGCATTTTAACACTTGCGACCCTGCTGTTTGTCGATGTTACGGTGTGCATGAACAATACATGAGCAACCACAGACTGAATACAGACCAAGAGAGATCTGTGATAAATCTCTTTTGACCCCAAAATCTCTGTCTCTCAGAAATAAGCATGAGAATTTTCCACGATTGTGCCAAACTGAAGTTGGAGAAACTTAATGTGTGTTTGCACTAATTTGTGCAGAAGATAGGATCATTTTCAAGCAAGGATTCGAAGGACTGTTTTCAAGGTCCACAAAGAGGCGTTCACCAGCACAGAGGAGAAAGTAGTCATGAATGTTCAAGTCTAACTGTTGCAGACTGCCTCACTCCCTGACCATTTTCTTGCACTCTCAGTGGGTCAGCTAATTGCTACTATTTGTTGTTGAGGTGCTAACAATACATGATTCATCTGTGAACATTTCACACCACTAACAACAGTGCCACTTACAGCAAAGAGTACTAGCATTAAGGAAGCATGTTTTCATTAATTTTATTAATTAAAATGTAAATATTATCTGATACTGGTGTACTAGTCTGGAAAATATCATATTCAATTTGATTCATTCTGCCCAGCACTACACACTCAAATGCACATGTGCACATCAAGGATCAGTATCTTTTTCCATATCCTAAATCTTGTTTTGAATAACACAGAAATTACACTTCAACACATCATTCCTTAAGCGTGTGTGTGTAATTACTGGTGGGCTTTGAAAAGTCTCTGTGGCTCTTTATTCCCCTGTAATCACACACACCCACAGTCCAAACCACCTGAGACTCCTCAACCCTCTCCCAGCTTCTGCTGGTGTTTAGACTTGTGTTTAGGCTCACTGAGGTCAGAGGTTAATTGCTGTCAGACCTGGCGGTACGCACGCAGTGCTACTGCAGCAACAGTGTAAAAACTCCATGTAGGCTTACAGACTCTACAATTGTGGCTGCACAATATAATGCTTACTAATCATTGAAATATTAGCTTTTGCAATAATACATCCTGACTAGGGCTTGAACAATATATTGGTTTCCCGATAATATCTGCTGATGTTGAGGCCCCACAGACAGGGGTAGACAGATTTGCACTGGCCACTTGAGCCACAAAGTCAATGAAACTTGTGTTGTGTCAAAATGAAGAACTTGTGACCAGAATAATGGAAACACAGAGAAAAAAGGAATGAATTTTTAAAAAAGACCTCACATTTAATTGCCTATTTACTATAATATGAACCTACATACCAAACTGGTTATTGGCTACCAGAGACTTACCTTTTGCAGTACTAGGAGTGTAGATGACTGGGGTAAATAGTTCCAGACTGCAATTTTCTCAATGCTTTTTCAACCTTGTTTTCTTTTCCATTGTCAAGTTTGCTGTTTATCTAGCTCACTATAGCTTTTCTGGAGTGTATGCTAGGGACTGGAATAGCTCAGTGAAGTTTCTGCAATCTACAGAAACTGTTTAGCAGTGATGCAGCGTTTACATGTTTGTGCTTAAAAGAAGCGTCATCATTTTGTGCCTTATTGCATAGTCGGTTTAAAACTGCAAAGTTATGTAGTTGATGGTAGCATGCAGCTTTGCAAATATTGCCATGGTCATAGGGGTTGCCAAAGGAGAGATTTGATGCTCACTTTTATTTGTTTAACATGGGGAAACAAAGGGACAACGTTGCAAGAACTCAGCTCCTTTGGCTTCGTCTTGTATTATAAGACAATTTTTATTGGCATTGGAAGATTTTTTTGGATGTCCTTTTGAGCAGTCACATAACTGGGGGCAGTGCCTGCCTTAGCTATGTTCCTGCAGCAGTTGGCAAAAAATAGACTTGAAGTTTTAAATTGCACATCATGCTCACATTGCTGCTGCTTCTTGCATTGTAAAAGGTTACAGAGATTGGCACAGAACTGTACTGCAGGCCTCAGTGGTGCGCTGCAGAAACAATATGGTTTCTTCCTTCTAGTTTAAAATGCACTTTACTTAGCTGTGTTCTTACTAATCAAGATTAAAATAAAAGGTAGGAAAATGCATGGTTGTGGAGTCATAAGCGTCATATCCAAAAAAGGATTTTTTTTTGTATATTGCTGTACAGTAGAATGTTTGTAGCTAATGTCTATGAGGACAGTTGTCTCACAGAGATGTTCTTTTACATGTACAAAACACCCCCAAACCTTAATGCCTGGTGCCACTTGCTGGCTACTTAGGTCTGACAGGCAGTGTACCTGGACCTGTGCTTGTCCAATAAACATCTGTTATTACATTCTATATTGCAGAGTAGGAATGCAGTACACTTGCCAGTGTGGTAAGACATTTTCTTAATTTCTGTAAAATTTGTGCTCTCTTCAGAGTCCCATCGTTTCATTCGGTCACATCATAACCTGTCAAAAAACAATCGTATAGTTTTACTTAAGGTTGCAGAGAAAAATTTGTGTAAATACTGATAAGAAATTAACCATTGCTGAACTGTCGTTTTAAATATGAAGAGTGGCTGTTAAAGGGTTAAAATTTGCCAAAACTGCTCTCATCATTTTGAAGTAAATGTATGTGTTTGCAACCCCTTTTGCTAAATTTCACTCAATGTCAATTTTAGACATCTTATGAAAAGGTCTCGTGGAATAAGCAAGCTAATAAAAGTCGGAAGAGAAAGGAAAATGGAGCAGAAGATTGAAAATCAGAGAGTGCTTAAAAAAAAGGACAGACTTCCAGGCATAGTGCAGGTGGATGAAGCACAAAGCCTGCCAACACGTAAGTAAATAAGTAGATGTAGTCTTGTGGGGCCAGAAGTGATATTGTAACGAGAACGTCTAGGTACAGCTCTGAGAAATTTTGGGCTAAATGTTGGTGGGAATGAAGATTTGTTAGGGAGGGAAGAATCGAACTAAAATTTCAAAATCAGTCCAACGCCTTGTTGAAGGCAGAGCTCTAAGTAGGGGGCGATAGACTGTTCATCAACATTGAAGCACAACAAGCCTGTTAGTCCGTGGATGTAAAAGCATTGTAAAAAGCATGGCTGAAACCATGGAGCACATTACATGCAGTAAAAACAAATTTAGTTTGGTTAGGTAACGATTGTGGTTTGCTAGATAGCTTGTTTTGCTTGTGTTATCAGTTGTACTTCAGACTTTAAAGGAGCACAATCTAGATGAATTTGGGGGTGGGTTTCAGAGAGAATGTTAAATTCTTAGTGGCAGATTCCAGCACTACAAGTTGTCTTTGTATGTATTCTCTTTATAAGATCATGTTTGGCCCTGTGAGATGAAAGCAGATGCAGATATATACATTCTGGCTAAGTATGAAATGAAGATTTTACTGTTGTCTTTTCCTTTGCTGTGATTTAGAGTTCCAAGCAAGCCAGAGGAACAGGAGTGAGGAGGTCAGAAAGCATGACCAGGAGTCCTTGGAAATGTACACAAGCCAACCTCAAGCTCTTAGCCTTGTGGGACCTAATACCTGTGTGGTGTGTGGGAGGACTTTTAGCTCTCGAGGACTGCTGAAAATTCATCTGCGCGTTCATTCAGGGGAGAAACCTTATCACTGCCCGTTTTGTGACAAAAACTTCAGACAGTCGAGTCACCTCAGTGTACATGTCAGAATCCATACTGGAGAAAAACCTTACAGCTGTCTCACTTGTGGAAAGAGGTTCAGTGACAGAAGTGCATGTAACAGGCATGTTAGGGCTCATCTTGAAAATGATAATCCCTAAAGGATTAGATTGGTTGAGACACATTTGCTTGAGATCACTTGTTTTTGTTTTAGAACTTCAGAACTTGTACACTCCCTACTGTTACTGATTTTGTTTTAAATGCTTTTAAGATTTTGGGACCTATAGAGACCTTAGCATTTTAATCTAGACTTAAATGTAATGTCAAATAGCTATAAGAACTTAACTGTGTAATTTTGAACTCATGGTACTTGCTGTCAAGTTAATAATATATAAAGACTTTTTCCACTCAAAGATGCACCTTGTCTTTCAGGTAAGAAGTAAGGCTATGCATTCAGACTAATTTTGATATTTGTGTGTCTGTATGAGGTAAATGTATATCCAGTTAACTGTGGAGAAGGAAATAAACAATGCCAAAAAAGAAAAAAAAAACGATTATGACAGAAATTAATGTAGGGCTTGCTTTTTTATTTAAAATCAGCAAAGGTTTTCATGTCGTATAAGAAACATGACAGAGACCGGCTCAAACGAGCAAATGAGCTAGAAATACAGCTCACCAGTAACACTGGATGCTGGTGCAGACTCGTTATTTTCTACAGGTGTTTCCCTCTTTAGTGGACGATGTGCCAACATATTAGGTTGTCAGAGAAACATATTTTAATGGTTTGTAGCCCTAACATCAGCCTAGCCTATTTAGCATTAAAAGCCCCGCTTTCTCTGCCATCTTAGTCACATCTTTAACAGTTCTTGGCATGTAAAGGAACTTGTCCTTTGTAAAGTAGTACTCTCAGGGCCATAACTAGGATGAAAATTTCAGTGAGGTCCATTTTGAAGAAAAGAAAAAAAACTGCTGAATGTATATATATATAACAACTATCAGTTTCTTATTTAGTTTTTTTTAACCAAATCATTGCTTCTTTTTTGACCATTTGTAATTATGTACCTTTTCCCTTCCTTTATTTTTTTCCCATCCCTCTAGTCTTCCAGAAACTGCTGTTACTGTTCCATAAACACCAGTTGTCCTATTTAATTTAATTTAATTAATTATATAACTATTTATTTACCCGTTCATTTTCAGCTTTCTATTTTGCTTTCTTTCTTCTCTGTCCTCACCGATTACTGAAAAAACATACGTTAAAAATGCTTTATAAAAGTCTGTCTCTACCAAACCCCAACTAATAGGAAGGAAAATACTCATACAGTTAATCAGACATAATTCACCTAAATGTACCTGCTGATTTCTGAATTACATTACATGATACTGTGCCATCGAAAAGCTGGTTAACAGTGAACTGTTTCATGCCGGTGTTGTAGTACGAGTAGGTAACGCAGTACAACTTTGAACTGCCATTAGTTTATCATATATATGGCCAACCACAGAGCAGCTACAGGAACTACACTAAAGCATGCTGATTTAGATAGCAATGTTATGAGCACTGCAAATAAAAAACATGTTCTGGGAGATGAATTTTACAATCATAATTTATTAACCCTCATAAATTCTCACATTTTATCATAGCCATGTTGTATGTTAGCCTAGAGAATGTGTGCTGTATACCTGTAACATTATATGTCAATATGGTAAAGTTCTGGGTAGCTTGAGCGTAGCATTTTGTACAGAGAAAAACAGAGCGGGAAGTAAAGTCTGTGGCCGAACCACTGCTGTGCTGAGGTCAGCTAAGAGCCAGTCACTGCTGTTTATGTAATCTTGTCGCTATTTCCACGCCAAATCTTATAAAACCCTTTCAAAAGCTATATAGGACTTTGGTATCTTTATGCCAGTTATGAACATGACAGGCGCAAATAACCAACTGAAGGCTTGAGGCATTTACACATAGCAGTTGTTGCTAAGCAGTGATTGGAGGGCTGAAGAAAATAAGGCTGAGCGTGGCTTAGAGTGTAATAGTTTGATTGGCTATAGCACAGTGACAGCCCTCACAAAAAAAAATAAATCAGTGTCACAAATCAAATCTTAAAAGCAGCATAATAAATATTATTGTCTGATTTCATTAGATAGCCCTGAGTTGTTGGTCTCTAAATTTTGTCTGTCTTCCTTTGATAAAATGTAACAAATACCCTAGTAGTGATTTCAGCATTCGAAAAATGGCACCTCAAACTCATGCACATCCATAGTAAGGAACACTGGTGGGCTCTTAGCATGATTTCATTTTTGTAAAGTTTGATGTCTTCAACCCGCTTTATTCATTTTTGACCATGTTGACTTTTGGGATGCCTGCGCATAAAAAATTTTTAAACTGCATCTTTTTAGAACTACAATTTGTTCCACCTCTTAAGACTTAAATTTAGCAAGTCAGTCACTGACATTTGTAAAACTACTGCTTTTATTGTTCTTTGTTCTCTGAAACACTTTTTGTCTTTTATTTTTTATGCTTAAGTTTTTTATATATATATACTTCTTGTTCTTCTCTTTTTGTATGTTTGTTTTAAATAGAACTGCATACGCATTGTATGTGACCAACTACCCTTAGGGGTGCGTAGATTGTTGAACATGTATCACACTTTTTCCATTTTGCATTATAAATGTATAGCGTGGGTTGTGGTGTTGAGAAATAATTCAGAATCAGCTTAGTTTGAGTTAAATTAAATAGTCAACTAGCTTGCTTTTACTGGGAAAGTAATATAGGCGTCTAAGACTACTGCACTACACTGCTTGGTACTCTGATCCTGGACCTACACTTCTAGTTTACGAAAGTGAAGACTTATCGTATATTTTGAGGCTATAAAAATGCTATACTTCATGATGTTCCATGTAAAATACTGATCTGAACTCGTACAGGAGAGAAAGTTTACCACTTCCCAGAGTGTTTTAAAAGTTTGACAGGGATAGTAACAAGGTGCAAAAATCATCTGTTTTTATTTTATTTATTATTTTATCTTTTTGGCATAAAATGTGACAGCGTTCTCGTCATTTTAGTTGAATTCAATTTGATTTTATTTCCTTTTATTGTAAAGTGACACTGCTTTTTTACATAGAAAATAAAAATGTTTACTTGCATTTACAGTACCTTATTTCTTAATGTCCTTACAGTTTGAAGTCTGTTAAAATCTTTTTTTTCAGTCAGTGCAGTCACTGCTTTATTCTTTTAAGAGTAAAAAGGAAAATCATTTTTTTTTACAAAATGTTAGTTAAACAGATTAAAACATGCAAACCTTCAGGTTGTTTTCTTCTAATCGAGAAAGGACAAAAATAAAATTTATAAAACAATATAATAATTGTGTTTCTCATCACATTTTTTTATGGAGTAAGTAGTGATTTTCTTATTAACATCAAGTAGTCCAGCATTAAAGGGTCATTTGTGTATCCCATAAGCCTTTGCTTAGTTCTGTGTGGTTTAAAAACTTGTTCTAGCTTTAATGTCCATGAACTAATAGAATCCAAAATCCCCCATGATCAAGGGACACAATACCATGTACCCTGCCCGAGAGAGGGTTACCAAGACCTACCTCTGGAGCCAGGCCTAGAGTAGGGTGCCCTGCTGAGCGCCTGGTGGCCAGGCAGCCCATGTAACCCAGCTAGGCTCAGCCTGAAAAGGCAATGTGGTGACCATGTGGGCCTAACACTCACAAGGTCCAGTGTGGGGGACCAGTGCAGTGCTGTATAGGCAGTGGCAGGTACCAGGGATGTCCTTGACATGAGCCCTTGTGGTGGAAACTGGCTCTTGACACATGGAGTTCAACCTCACTGCAGTGGAAGGAGCCAGAGCTTGTGCAGGAGGGTGACAGGTACCAACTAGATATAGTTGGGCTCACCTCCACTCACAGTGTCTGCTCTGGAACCAAACTCCTTGGTAGGGGTCGGTCCCTCTCCTACTTAGGAGCTGCACAGGGTGAGAGGTGCTAGGCGGGTGCGGGGATACTCACAATCCCTGGCTGGCTGCCGTGCAGTTGGAGTTGTCCCTGTGGACAAGAAGGTGGCCTCATTGCTAATTAAAATCACAAAGAGGAAACTCTGACTGTTACATGTGCTTATGCACCAAACAGCGGTTGGGAGTATTCAACCTACTTGGAGGAAGTGGGTGAGTTTCTGGAAAGGGCCCCACCTTCAGGCTTCATAGTTTTGCTGGGAGACTTAAATGTTTATGTAGGCAATGACTGTAAAACCTGAAAGGAGGTGATAAGGAAGAATGGCCGCCTGATCTAAACTAAAATGGTGAATTGTTATTGGATTCTGTGCTAGTCATGGATTCTTCATGACAAACACCACGTTCGAACACAAGGATGTTCATAAGGGTACTTGGTACCAGAGCTCCTTGGGTCAAAGGTCAATGATCGACTTGTCATTTCAGTTGACTTGGGGCCATATGTCCTGGACACTCGGGTAAACAGAAGTGCTGAGCTGGTGACCGATCACCATCTGGTGGTGAGTTGGATCAGATGGCAGGGAAGGTCTAGTGGTCAGACCTGGTAGCCCCAAGTGAATAGTGAGGGTGTACTGAGAACCACTGGCAGAGGCCCCTGTTTGGAATAATTTTAACTCCCACCTCCAGGAGAACTTTTCTCATGTGCTAGATGAGGTAGGGGACATGGAGTCTGGAGCAGTTAGAGTGGCCTTGCTCAAGCTGTACTCAGCAGGGGTGGAGAAACTGACTTTGAAGGATATTGTTGGTCGATGGAAGGAGCACTTTGAGAAACTTCTAAACCCAAGAGACCTGCCTCCCTAATGGGAGTCAGGGCCAGATTCTTCTGGGGTGTCAGACTCCCTTTGCATAGTGGAGGTCACTGAGGTAGTTGGCAAGCTCCTCGGTGGCAAGGCAATGGGGATGGATGAGTGGATGACTGGCCCAGAAATGCTTAAGGCTGTGGATGTTGTGGGGCTGTCATGGCAGACGGGCCTCTGCAATGTTGCGTGGACCTCGGGAACAGTACCCTTGGGCTGGCAGACCTGGGTGGTGGTCCCTATTTTTAAGTAAGTGGACCGGAGAGTGTGTGCCATTTACTGGGGTATCACACTGCTCAGCCTCCCTGGGAAAGTTTATGAGAAGTTTCTGGAAAGAAGACTCTGACCGATAGTCAAACCTCACAATGATATGGAGCCATGCAGATCTGTCTCAGCCATGGAACAATGGACCAGCTTTTCACCCTCACGCAGATTGTTGCGGGAGCATGGGAGTTTGCCAACCCAGTCTACATGTGTTTTGTGAACTTGGAGGCTTACATTTGTTTTTCCTGAGAGATTCTGTGGGAGGTCCTCCGGAATGATGGGGTGCCGGGGCCACTACTCTTGGCCATTCAGTCTCTATACTTCCAGAATGAGAGTTGTGTCCATATACTTGGCATTAAGTCAAACTCATTCAGTGAGAGTGTTACATGCAGCACAAGTGGAGTGCCCAACCACAGGAGACAACAGTGGTGACAACTATAGGGGGGCTTCTGTGATGAGAGTGAGAGAGTTGTGGAAAAAGACTGTGTCTTGGCAAAAGTGAAAAACAATGGCTATGGGCGATGTTGGAGGAATA